GGTTACGACCCTAACCCCGAAACCTCCTCGATCCCCAACTGCGGAACTCGAGACGCATCGGAGCCTGAGGAGATCCCTCCCGGCAGACGATGGCAAGCCAACCCCAGCTGCATCCTGCAATGGGGTTTAGCTTTTAGGGGTTTAGGGTTTAGGGGTTTAGGGTTTAAGGGTTTATTGTTTAGGGTTTAAGTGTTTAGGGGTTTAGGGTTTAGGGGTTTAGGGGGATCAGATGTATTCTGAATTTAAGGGAGATTGGAAGGTCTGGGTAGGGCATTAACTATAGGGGCCTCAACTATTAGACCAGCGCTGTTTCGGGACAATAAGGAGCCTTTTTCACTAACCAATTGCTCCCACCCCTAGCTGCGGATGTAGAAGGAACACGGTTGCCATTAAGGTTCGGGTATGGGCTTGTGATCGGGATTCTGGTTCATTTCAGGAGGCATTGTTCCTGTTCTTGGTAAGGAACGCTTCAAGACTATTCATGTAAGGCCCCCAGAAACCCCCTAATAATGAAGGTACCCTGTTTCGTAATATTCGGCTTTAATAAGGAAAACCACAAAACAAAGGGCAAAAGGGCACTACTCAGGAACCTAGAAAAACTATCTTTAAAAAACAACACCCTCAGAAGAACCCTCGAAGAAGTCTTCAAATAGCCCCTGAGGGTCCCTATATGGGTGACTGTTAAAGTTCCTTTACTTTACGGGTTCCTCTAAGGACTCCTTTTAAGGGCGCCTTTAAGGGTTGCCTTAAGGGCTCCTTTAAAGGAACCTTTGAACTAAACCCTAAACCCTTAACCCTAAACCTCCTTTAAAGGAACTTTTGAACTAAACCCTAAACTTCCTTTAAGGGGACCTTTCAAGGAGACCGAAGATCGGACTCCTGGCGCCGCAAACGTTCGGCAAACTCGACGTCCGAGCACTCGCCACTGCCGGCCTCGAATTTCTCGACTTCGGGGTTTAGAACTTAGGGTTTGGGGCTTAGGGTTTAGGGTTCGGGGTTTGGGGTTTAGGGTTGGGGGTTTAGGGCTTAGGGTTTAGGGTTTGGGGTTTAGGGTTTGGGTGTTGGGAGGGGGTTCTTAAGATTCGCTTCGGGTTTGCGTAAAGTTTTGACGGTGTTGCCTCAAAACAATGAAACCAGTAAGATGTTATAGGGGTGATTCTGAAAACTGTGGTCCCTTTTTGGGTACCCTAAATCATAGGTGCCGTATTATGATAAGGACCCAAAAAGGGACCCTAATTTTGACAACCACCCGTAGGGCAGTAGCCTGAAGTCAATAAGGGTCCGGGCTCGAGCATTTGAGGGCGGCTTGGATGCCCAAAGGGTTTAGGGTTTAGGGTTTAGGGTTGGGGGTTTAGGGTTCAGGGTTTAGGGTTGGGGGTTTAGGGTTTAGGGTTTAGGGTTTCAGGACTCTAAAACTTGAACCCTAGAGTTTCAACAAACCCTAAACTAGGATGCCCAGTAAGCTAGGAAAAAACCTAAGACTACAAAAGGGAATAAGGGTACTACTGGGCATCCTAGCAAAGTCTAAACAAGCCCCAAACTAAATCCACAAGCCCGGTCAACCCCCATCTCCCCTAAACCCAAAGCCCTGAAGGCCTGATCGCAAATCTGAAAGCCCGAAATCCCAAACCTTATACGGACACGTCGTTGTAGAAGCCTTAAAAAGGATCCCCTATTTCAGGAACCCGTTTCAAGGGAAACCTAACCCTGAGCCCTCGAAAGATCCCCTTAAGAGGGGCCTTTTGAAAGAAGCCTAAACCCTAAGCACTGTATCCCAGATGCCACCAGGCCGCTGTCGGTGCCTGGGATGGCCGGGTGTCAAAGAACCACTCGAGCCTTTGCGCAGTGTGTTGGGAGCATGGGATTTTTGGGGTTGTACAGGTGACAGGTGTGTATATGGTCGGCAATTTTTATCGGGGTTTACAGGGCTAGCCAAAGGCGCTCACGTTGCTTTATAGAGTAAGGGTTCTATCTCGAGCCTTTTCGTGGGCATTCTAGGGCTCTTAGGGCTTGTGGTTTTGGTTTTAGGATGTAGGGTTCTGGCTGACTTCGCGGTTGGGACAAGGAGGGAGGAATTCCAAAGCTCCCGATCCGTACAACTGCAGACGTCAACCGACATGCGCGCCCCTAGCTAGATTCTCAACCTTCAACTTAGTTGCTGAGTTCCTAAGCCACAAAAAGTTTGCACTTTCAGTTTTACAGTGGGTAATATTATCGCAAAAAGTGGGTGGATGTCAAAATTAGGGTCCCTTTTTGAGTACCCTAAATATTAGGTGCCGTATTATAATAAGGACCCAAAGAGGGACCCAATTTTTGACAACCACCCAAGTGTAAAGTGTATCCGCTCAGCTACTAGGTCAAGCAGTGAAAGGTTCATCCGTTAGAGGCCCCAGGCCCAAACCTTATACCCCAAACGCCCCCTAACCCATAAACCCTGCTAATGTAGGAACCTGATTAAGAAACCCTGGGCCTTTACGGTTTGGGGTTTAGGGTTTAGGGTTTTAGAATCCCAAAAATATAGGGCTCATGTAAGGAACCCTAATAAAGGCCCAAGGCTTCTTGATCAGGTTCCTACATTATCCGGTTGTCGGGTAAACCAACCTAGCAGCCTCGCGGAATCCGACGAAACTGATCATGGTACCAAGGCACCCCGACCCGAAACCTCATATCCAAAACCCTTTTGCCCTGGACCTTAAACCAAGAACCCTACATGAGCCCTAAGTGTTGATGAGAAGCACCCTGCTGTTGCAGTAGTGCAGAAGTCCTGCGAACAAGCCTGTCTCACCTATTCATCCGAAGTGTTCGGTCTTGCGGTGTGGCCGAAAACCCCATGCATTTTGATTGCAGGCGCAGGGATCAACTTTCGGACGATGGTTCTAAGGCCTCTGCTTCCGAAACTTCTCCAGACCCGGACCCCTAAAGCTTCAAACTCCAGACCCTAAACCCCTAAACATGCAAACTCTAAACCCTAAACCCCTAAGCCTTCAAACTCTAAACCCTAAACCCCTCCAGGCTCCCGGGCGTTGCTCCAGCCGGGGCGCCCTAGACAAGCGACGGTTTAGTTTAGGGTTTAGGGTTATAGGGTTTAGGGTTAGAGGGTTTAGGGAAGGTACAAGACAAGGTCATAGGATGCAAAGGTTAGGAGAACGGGCTTAGGCAAACCTTGCATCCGAAATCAAAATATGAAGGTTTTTCGGGTTGGAGACATCGCCGTTCACATGTTGATCATATGATGGGTTGCACACCCCTGCGGCACAAGCCAGCGAGAGATCTTATGCCTTATGGATTGGCAACCCCAAAACAACTCTGAAAAAGCGTCGGGATTGTTTTGGGGAATGATGTCGCACACACCATTATCCTCCCTCCCTTAAGGTAAAGAAGAGGGAATCCTAGCAGTAACCATGCTAAATCCATGTTCCGACTTTCTGGGGTTCACTGCAGTGCGAGGTGGCAGCATCTGAGCCTGGACCTCCAGAAGCTGCGAGGGGGGGGAGACGCCCTAAACCCCAAAGCCTCAACCGCCCCCCTCCCCCCCTCCATCGCCTGGGGGCCCAAGCAAAGGTCTAGCAAGGCTCGTAGTGGTCGCCCTGACATTATCAGATGTTGAGTTCGGGAGTTAGGTGCTCTTGGGGTGTAGTGTTGCTGTTTCCCTAAGGCCCTACGGGTCCAAAGGACCCAATAATCAGGTACTTGGGTTCAGGATAGTAATTTTGTAGGTTACTATTTGGGAGCGTATATGATAATTAGGTACTTGGACCCTTAGGGTTTGAGCTTTTCAGTTTCCAGGAGAGGCAGGGTCCATCGTTTTGGTTTGGGGCACTGGGGTCTAGGGCTGTGAGCGAGCAGGGCTTGAAAGGTACAGTGCCAATCGTCAGAGGTTGAGAGTCTTGCCGTTTAGCTTCTCAGGTTTGGGGGTTGTGGCTCAGGACTTCAAGCTTTATAGGCTTTAAAAACTTATTGCCAAATACTATCAGTGCAGACGGTTTAGGGCTTCAACTCAAGTTTAAGGGGAATATCGTAATGGCCATTCTGGCCGCAAAAACTGGCAAGAACAATGGCAAAAGTAAAGTGAATACTGACTGTTCATTTGCATCATCACATGCAGCTCAAAACAACAAACGACAGCAACGGATCCAACGATAGCCGTCATAGCCAGCTGAATAGTACCAACAAACCCAAGAACACTTATCAATTATAAAGATACTCTGCAGCTGACTATTGAAATTAAACTGAACGTGATATTGCATTTTGCGGCGCGAACCCACGGTAGGCTGCTGTATCGAACACTAAAGAACAGAAATCTTAGCATTCATGTGGGTCTCGTTCCTCATAGTTCTCATAGCAACCAAATCAAAAAGTGGCTTCTGTCTATAATCCTAAAGACTCACGTAACCTTGAATGTCAACACCCGAAATCTAAACATACTCGTGGACTTCAAAAATGAGTCGTAAAACACTGACAGCCTCGAAAATATACCTTACTATACCAGAGCCAAACCGAATTCCACTTACTCAGAAACAAACCTTATAGTACCCCTCGCAGAAGCCCTTCAATGGAACACTTACAAAGAACCCTACACTATCCTCAACTTCTAAGCCCCAAATCTGGATCGCTCTAGGGGTTGTGGCTTTGAGGTTGCTTGAACGTGCAGTGGGTGTTTGGGGGTCAAGGTGGGGTCAGAGGCGTTGCATTGAAAGACTTCGTCTGGACTTGCACAAAACCTGCGCTGGCGGACACGCTCGTTTTTCTGGACGGGCGACTGGCACGCGGTGCATCGCCCATTGAGATAGTTCGAGGGTCCGAGTGGTCAGAACCCCCCCCACCCTTACCCCGAAATTGCAAGTCCGGCCGACGAAATCCTACAACTAAAGGCCCGAAGTCCTTCAATTCCAAATCCGCAATTCTCAACATGACTCTGAAAACCTAAACGCATGACATCAGTGTCCCATAGTGCCACAGCAAGACCCTTTCCAGAACCCTACGCCCAACAGAAGCCACCGTCAGCTTCGCCCCATGCTCAGCTGCGGCATCGACAGCAGCTGCATCACAGCTTGCCACTGCCCAGCATTCCTGGGCTCAAGCCCTGGACGGCTCGGGTCCAGGCTAAAGGTCTAGGGTTTAGGGTAGGGTTTCGAGTTTAGGGTAGGGTCCAGGGTTTAGGGTTGCCAGACTGGGTGTCCGAAATGATCACAACTCCTTTCTCAAACCGCAAAGCCGCAACTGCCAAGCCCTGAACCGAACCCTGCCCACCCCCTTATAAGCATAAACTTCCCAAAAGGCCCGATACCCCTCAATTAGGGAATATACCTTATAAAAATATAGGGGGCTTAATATTATTGCGTAGGTATACTACTTACTTAAAGGGTCTTCTTGGGCTCTCGGTCCAGGCTAGAGGCAGCGAGGTAGGGTTTAGGGAATAAGGGTTTAAAGAACGACAATTTTTATTTGGGTACATGGACCCTTAGGGCTTTACTAATTAGAATGTGCTGTGATTTATACATGCATGCACTGCAAGGGACTTCTTACTGTAACTACTTAGTCAGACCCCCGATGCGGTATCACCCTGGACGTTTTGCAGGCTCTGGTTGAACTGAGCATTCCTGTTGTGGTGTGTTCACTATCAGGAGACGAGGGTTGGTGGATTACGGGTTTAGGGCTTGAAGTCTTTCGGACTTCAGGGCTTGCTACGAAGTTGGGCTTTTGGGGAGGAGGCGCTCGAAGGTTCAAAGGCTCAATGAGGCCAGCACAGCAGCATAAACTGTTGCAAGTAACATCCCTGCAGCGCGGTAGGTTTCTACATGGGTCCCGCAATGCCCTTTGAACAGTATCTATGGGGTCTCTGTCTAGATACCTCTACGTCCATTACAGGCAGCAAGCAGACACCAAACCCTGAAAACTTTATCGATTTACCTTTGTACTCATGAACGCTCCACCCAAACCCATAAACCCCCTAATCCCCAACCCTAAACCCCATAAGGGTGGTTGTCAAAATTATGGTCCCTTTTTGGGTGGTGTAATAGGTGCCGTATTATATTAAGGACCCAAGAAGGGACCATAATTTTGACAACCACCCATATGAACCCTAATCCCTACACCTCATCCCTGAACCTTTGCATCCATGAAGGCTCCAGGAAGACCAATGGGCTGCTGCTGAGCCACTTGCAGGCGGCAATCGCGGCGGTCAGGCTAACCTGATAGGGCTCAGGATGTTCAATAAGGCTTTGGGAGGATATATGATTAGAGGATGCAGTATAATAACAGCAACAAAACTATAGTAAGGAACCCTTAGAATTCATAATTTCGGCCTTCAAGATGTTACCGGTTGCGGGGGGTCCGGGCTTCGGAACCCTAAACCCTAAACCACTTCATGGAAACCAGGGGGGCCATCCTTGGGTTTAGGGTGCAGACGAAGGCCATCTCTGGTAGAGACCCTTTAAGTGGGCCATGCCTGGATACTTCTTCACGGAATAGGTACTGTAGTGGAACTCTCACTTACGGCGACAACCCTAGTGTGAAGCCCAAACATTCCTGCTGCCTATAAGTCTTCCGTAGTTTCAAGCAGGGTTTGGCCCACTAATAGAAGAAAGGCCCGAAAGCAAACAAGTACAGAGGAGCCACAAAACCACTAGCATTAGCTGCACAAGCCCACTCCAAAATAGTCGAGGAATGGGAATTGACTCCGGGCTCCTCAACACTCCCTGACCGCCCCAAACGTCTTATCTGGACGAGGTTGAGTCTGAAACCAAAGAACCTCTAACCTCTTAAACGCATTTTACGGTCGGGCTGCGGACGCCGGTCCACGGTTTACGGTTTAGGGTCACACCCAGTAATTCAGTGAGCCCCCCAACCCTGAACCTAAACCCTTGCCGAAAGCATTGCCCAGGTGACTGCATTCGGCGGACTGCGCCCAGCTTCCATGGCCTGCCAGCGCTATAAGGTTTACGGTTTAGTGTGTGTTTTTTTAGGCATTAAATATAAGCCCTAAACTGTCGTAAACCCTAGTTTATATTAGGGTTTGTGCGTTTAAGAAATGAAACATAAGCCCTAAACGGTCCCAAACCCTAGCTTATATGGCCTGCAGCAGCCGCTGGGCAGCTCGCCACGCTGAGGCACGAGCACAGGCACCGAGACCTAGCAAGGACCCTTGCTTTAAATGCTCCTCATCGGGTGTTTCTTGGGGGTGTATCTGTTATGTTAGGCTTCCTCCAGGGGTTCTAGGCGGTTCCTTTGAGGGTTCCTGCAAGGCTTCCTGTAAGGGTCTACAAGGTCTGATCATGTAAGTGTTGCTTTCATTGGCCACTTGCAGGAGTCTGTAGAGTTTTGTTGTTGAGTGTTCCAGTGTTCCTTCCTTTTAAAGGTTAAAGGGCTCCTTTCAGGGTTCTCTCAAGGGTTTTTGTCGGGTTTTACCTTTGAGAGCGCGTTCAAGGGTGCTCTAGGGCATTGTGTTCGCAGGTTCCGTGAAGGGTTCCTTTGGGCCTTTGGGTTTCTGGGTTTGGGGTTCCTTCTAGAGCCTGAAAGATGAGAATGGTTTGCACTATATGAAAACACTCATACAGCGACCAACTATGACAGGATGAAGCAGCGTCTCGCAAGCTCAGCATCTGGGTTTTAAGACTTGCGGATGAGACTTTGGAGCTTGCAGGTTCAGGATTTCAATGAAAGTATGTTCGCTACCATGACTTGTAAAAACAACTATCGGGCATGTTGATGGTTGTTATATACCCACACGTAGATGGATGTGTATATATATATACACATATGTATACATACGCCTATATGTACATGTGAAAAGCAATGATCAGCATGATCGAGGTATTCGGATTCACATGTCATGGTTCGGACTTGGGATCGGCTTCCGACTCCCTAAACTTTCACCGGTGATAGTGACGCAACATGGGCAGTTGTCAAAATTATGGTCCCCAAAAAGGTACCCGAAATAGTCGGTGCCGTACTATCATGAGGACCCAAAAAGGGACCCTAATTTTGACAACCACCCACATAGAAATAGAAGCCGTATGAATTGGGATAGGCTAGGGCTTTGGGGGGCACAACGAGGAACCCCTTTGGAGGTTCATGCGTAGTCATAAGTGGAGTTATAAGTCGACTGTTCATCTGCCAAGTATATGAGGAATAATGGTAGAAACTCCGACCCCCTCTCTACTAGGTCGAGAAGCAAGCGTTGAAGCTGATGAGGTTCGGCAAAATCGCAGCTTCAAGAACATCGGAGAGGAAAGTAAGAGCCAGCTGCCAAGCTCCACCTGGAGGGGACTTTGGAGTTAGAACTTCGTGTTCGGGGCTTTGGAGATCCAGACCAAAAGGAATTGAGGTGTTGGGTAACATTATAAGGAAAATAGGACTACAGAAAGGGAATCAGGGTACTACTGGGCATCCTAGTATGCACCTCACACCCACCGAAGTCTACAAGGGAAACAGAGGAGCTTGAACAACTGGGGGTTTGTTTTTGTGAGGTTTGGGACAATTAGTTGCTTCAAGTGCCCTAAACTGTAGGCCCGAATCCCCAAAAGCCAAAAGCCCACCCCAGTTCGCAAGCTTGTCTCTCCGAGTGCTGGCGGCACCGTTTAGTACAATCAGTCGAAAGTCGTCTTGTGCTTCGCCTTCGAATTTCAGAGTTTCGTGGCTGCTATGTGCAACATCACAGCGCATGGAACCCTAAACCCCAAACCCTTACACTCCTTGCGCCCAAATCCCAAATCGAAAACCCACCCTGAGGCACAAACTTACCCTGCAGTCCGGGACTTTTCGGCGTTTGAGGTTCAGGGTTTCCAGAAACCTCCCCACACCCTAAACCCGGAGCCCTAAACCCTAGACCCTAAACCCTTAACCGCCTTCTTCGCAAGCACTCACTCCCGAGCCAACAGCCACGACGTCGAGAGGGAGCCTCTCGAGACTTAGGTTTTTCAAGCCTTTGCGAGGGCTTAGGGTTTGAGGTTTAGGGTTAAGGGTTTAGGGTTGGAGTTGGCAGGCGCCCTACAATAACGTAAGCTATGGTAGGATAAGGTATGACCTGCTTACTGTGTCTCCTGACACTTGCAGCCCAAGCCTTTGCAACCTACCGATTATTATGTTTAGGTCCTATGACCTTCAAAGTAGGTCTCAGAATCCTGGCCCTAAACCCTGAGACCCCTATAAACCCTAAAACGCTAAAAACCCTAAACCCTAAACCCACTTCCCCAAAGCCCGAAGCCGTTCCTTGACTCACGCAGCTGAGAGAAGAGTAGCAAGGCCACCTGCCAGGGTTGGGTCCCCCAAAGGGTCCTAATACAGGGGCCTTAATACTTAGAATAGGTTTCCTGTAAAGGGGTCTATACTGGTTACTATTAGGGATACTATAAGGAAGCTAGAATATAGGGACCTTCATAATTGGAAGAGGGGTTTGGGGCCCTTTATACTATAGTTACAATGAAGAACACCCCAAAATAGTGTAGGTAATGATCCCCAAAAGTCCTATACAGCTACGCTGAATGTAGGGCTTCTATTTTAAGAACTACAAGTAGGTAGAACTCTATAGTAGAATGTAGGGCTTCTATATTAAGAACGAATACGATCTCTACAGTAGCATGTATTAAGAGTTCATATGAACCCTTCAATGGAACCCGAAAGTGTGTGAGGTTCCGTGTATCGTTGGAGTTCAGAGCTTCAGGATAGTGAATCGTGGCCACGTGCAGAAAGGTTTAAGGAAGCGGGCTGATCAATGAGAACTTTATTGGAGTTTCGCCGCACAGTATTTATCGTTAACACGGGTTTCATATTGCTGCTTGTTCAAGGTTCTATATTACTACAGGGGCCTTAATACTTAGAATAGGGTTTTGGGGCCCAATATACGATATAATCATAATAAGGAACTCCCAGACTAGTATAGGTAATTATTAAAGCCCCTATACTCCACATGCTTTTCCAGGATCCCGGTGCCAGCGACAACACACCCGGGTGAAAAGCTGGGGTGGAGCTCTTGGGGAGTGGTCGAAACAGGCAATGATTACAGCGACTCACAGCAGGTGGGAAAAATGTCGTGGACGCCGAAGCAGCTGTGATGGTTTGCCACATCCTCGGAAAAAACACCCAGACCCTGAAGCCTTCTTAGCGCCCTGATCCCCTTAACCCCCAAAATGCCTGAACCCCAAAAACCCCAACGCCCAAACCCCGTAACTCCAAATCCCCCAAACCCTCATAACCTCGACGGGACCCTTCTAGGAGCCCTTTTTTAGATCCCTTAAAGGAACCTTTCAACCCTAAGAGCATCAGGAGCAGCCACTGTAGGGGCCTTAATAATTAGACTAGGGTTTGGGTGCCCGCGATACTATGATTAAAATCAGGAACCCCCCAGAACAGTATAGGCAACTAGTAAGGCCCCTAATATAGAACCCTACTATAGATCCCTTCTAGACCCCGTTTAAAGGACCCAGTTTAAAGGAACACCTACTCTACTAGGAAATTATTAAGGGCCCTATATTACACCCTTCTAGTACCCTTATAGTATCCCTTATAGACCCCTTTAACGGAAACCCTACGGAATAGTATAGGTAGTTACGAAAGTCCCTGGACTTACCTTTGGTTAGTAGGGTATGGACGAATGGTAGTAATAGTAGTTACAATTCTACCCCATTCCTCCATTCCCTACTAACCAAAGGTAACTTGGCTGACTTCTGAACCCCTCCTAAAAGTTAAACTTTTAGCCTCCTAATTGTAGTTCATATAGAAACCCAAAAAGTTAAAGTCTAAAGAGCCAACCAGAAGAACGCCAAGGTAAGCAGAGTAGCCTGCCACTCCGTCTGTTTCCTGCAGGCAGTGATGGCTGAGCTGTAAGTGACCTGATTGATGCGGCAGCTGGGGGTTCCTTTAGGATTCTCAGGGTTCCGTTAAAGGGGTCTAGGGGTTCCTATAAGGGAGCTATAAGGGTACAGGGCAGCCCGCAGTTTGTAGGGGGCAAGGGTGAAGGGGGGGGTTAGTGTTTAGGGCTTGTCGGGTTTAGGGTTTAAGGCATATCGGGTTTAGGGTTTAGGGGCTTCAGGGGTTTATGGTTTAGGGTTTTAGGATTTAGGGGTTATCGGGTTTAGGGTTCGGTAGGGTTGAGGAAATCCTCAAATCAGATTATTTGGTCATAGCTATGGGAGGCTCAAGGACCAGTCTCGGAAGCTCCTAAGCCTGAAACTCTCAGAGGAACCCTTAGGGGATTTAGAGGGGTTTAGGGTTCAGGGCTTTAGTGGTTTGGGGTTTAGGGTCTAGGTGTTTAAGGATCCTAAACCATAGTGCATGCACCGAAATAGCTTGCATTTCAGCAGGCTTTGAGTTCCTACTATATTGATATATGGGAGTTTCCCAAAATAGGGGACCCTAATATGGTACCCTAAATAGTAGGATCCTTATTATAAGGGCCCCTAAATAGGGTACCCCTAATTTTCGGAAACTCCCATATTGTTATTCATACAGAGCCCCAAATGCCTTTAGACCCGAAGCACTCTCAACAAATCCCAGCTGACCGCCGAACTCCACCTCTTTCCCGCATGGTTAGCCCTATTGAAACAGCCAGAAGCATTCATGATACTGTTCCGTAAGGCTCCGTGCAAATATCCAACAAAACCTAGAGTCTAACTGCACTCACGACTCGAACTTCCAGCTTCATTCTCAAACCCTACAAAACCCAGATTCAGTCTACAACCGCTCCGCAAAAGCCCACCTGAATCGTAGACCCAAAGCCCTACGGTTGATGATGTAAATCCTGCATTACCTCAAGGACCCTAAACTATGGGAATTATGGTATATTCCTTATTATGGGTAACGCAGGATTTATATCATCGACAGTATCAAACATCAGCCTTATGCCCTCATCCTCAAAGCCCAAAAGACCAGCGGCAGTATTCGGAGAAAGCTCCACAGACCGCATCTGCGCCATCAGGAAGAGGCCTAATTGCCATTTGCCACCTCGAGCACTCAAAAAACGGGCTTGGGTGAAGGTTTGAATTGAAATTCATAAAGACTTTATTAACTATTACAAGGGTTTGCAGGGGCTTTACATGTTTCACAGGGTTTTGCTTATGGCACTCTTCAAGGAAGCCCCAAACCCCAATGCGAACCCCAAACCCTAAAGCCTAGTGATTCGTAGGTCTACATGTCATAGGGACCCTTAAGGGGGTAGGGGGAAGGGGTAGGGGACTATACTTCCTTAAGATTATGGGCATCAAGGCCCCCTACCCCACTAAGGGTCCCTACGGTTGATGATACTGCATGACCCATAATAAGGAATATACCATAACTCCCATAGTTTAGGGTCCGGTAATGCAGGATTTATACCATCAACCGTATGATTAAAAGGACCCGGGAGCTGCCTCTCTCGCAGGCACTGATGCATGCGTTGAAGCTGACCTGGTCAGGGTTGACTCCGATGATATGGGTTTAAAATTACCTACCCCAAAGGCTCCAAGTATCATTCTGGTATATACTTGTATGGCATTTGGGGGGTCTAAGTATATACCATGACGATACCTGTACCCTTTGGGTACCTTTTTCGGGTTCCTTAATATGATTTCTTTGAAAAAAGTCTTTAAACTGGTAAGCTGTCTGGGGTGAAGGTAGGGTTTAGGGATTTCGGGGTTTAGAAGTTTCGAGGTTTAGGGCTTGGGGCTTAGGGTGGTAGAGGTTTAGGATTCAGGGGCTAGGGCTTTCGGGTTCAGGGCAATACTCAACTCCAAACTAAAAGGCAAAACTCTGGAACCACAGGGCGCAGGGGGGTAGGGGGGAGGGGGGTAGGGGACTATACTTCCTCAAATAGTCCTTATTACATCCTTACTGTAGGTATTAAGGCCCCCGGCCCTACCCCCCTCCCCCCTACCCCCTAAGGGGTCTTATGATTGAACCTGAACCACAGGCTCTATGACTTGGCAATGAAGACCCAAGCCCGAAAACATAAGCCTTACAGGCAGGGTTAAGGATAGCATGCCCTCTTGTATATATGCATATAGGTATGTATCCTTGCATGTAACTAGGAGCATCCCATAATACCACGTCCTTACCAAACCCTGAACCCTGAACCCTACACCCCTTAAAAGGAACCCACAGGAACCCCTTAAACTGCCTCATCTCATGTACCACATTCATCCTTCATGTCCTCAAACTCTATGACCCGCTGATGATGAAGACTCCAGACACTGCAAACCCTATAACCCCGAATAACCCTGAAACCTAAACCCTGAACCCCAACAAACCCTGTAACCCTATAGTAGCCCTAAACTCTAAACCACGAAACCTAGTCGGCTTCCCTAAACTGCGAGAAACTCTTGGACAGACGCCCATTTTCATACAAACCCCTATACCCTGGATCTCATTCGGTTGCACTACACCCTGTAAACCCTTGCATTTCCTGGGCCTTATTTCAGACGTAGTAATAGTCCTACAGATCCCATGGCCTAGTGGAAACCCTTCCAGACCCCGTGCACGCTATACACTAAAACCCTAAACCATGCTGGACCTCGTTCGGCTTCACTAAACCTATGGTATATGCTAGACCCTTAACCTAAGCCCTATAAGACCTAAGTGAAAACCCAAACCCTCCAAATTTGAAGATTGCGACCCTTCCAGTATAATCAGGGTCAGTATAATGAAAGTAATCATGACCCCTAAAGCAGTAAGATTTTGGCTCCCAAGGATTGCCCTGGAGGACCTCATTGGGCTTCAGCTTCTCGAGAGGCATCTGCGTAAGCCTTAGTACCCCAATTTGCCACAGAAATAGAAGGTTAAACTTTCCAATTCCTACTAAACTTAATAAACCAAAAAGTTTAAAGGTTGGGTATTGGGGATCTTAAGAAGCCCCAAACCCTAAACCCCTAAAACCCTAAACTAAAGGTTGGGTATTGGGGATCTAAGGAGCAGTTGCAGCGATTGAGGCCACGCGGAGACCCGGCCTCGGGCACAGGAGGTGTTCAGGGCTCATAGGGCTTACAGTAGCCAGAAAGTTGGAACATCATGTTCCTCATGCCCTTAAGGTAAAGTATAAGGGATCCTAGCACTAATCCTCCTAAAGCCATGTTCCAACTTTCTGGCTTCTACTATATAATGGGGCCTATAGCGTTCGTAGGGTTTATATAGGGCTTATAGGGCTTGTAGGGTTTAGGGTCTGATTAGGGTGTAATTAGGGTTTAGGGGCACAGGAGGTGCTTTGTCGCTGCTCATAAAGATTTATAGGGTTTAGGGTTTCATAAGGGTTTAGGGTTTCATAAGGGTTTAGGGTTTGATAAGGGTTAAGGGTTTAGGATTTGGGGTTTTGGGGTTTGGGGGTTTAGGGTTTTGGGTGCCTAGTATGATTTTTGAGAAGTTTAGAACGGCTTCATGAGGGTGTGGTAGAGGTTTTGCAATTAAGAGCTTCTACAAATAGCTTATGCGGGTGTGATTTAGGTGCCTTCATGGATTGACCATATAAATATTTGGGTGTCAAAGGTTTCTACATGGGGTTTCATGACTCTAATCCTGAGAAGCCCTCATGCGTGCGTTAGGCTAAGTGAGGGCCTGATGTTTAGGGTTTAGGCCTTAGGGTGGAGTGTTTGGCATTTCCAGATCTACAGGTACTTCTTGACGGCTTGATTCCAAGATTGCATGAAGTTTGAAGCTTCATCGCGCTGTTACGGACCTGCATGGCTCTAGGTCATTGAGCCGAATCCCGAAACATACTGCCTATGTGCCTATGCCACAGTCATGATGGCCCACTGAACCGAAGAGCGCGATACCTACCTGGCTTCCCCAGTATCCACTTTGCAGAGGGCCCTGCAACACCTGCAGGAGCACAAACAAAAACCTCAACATCCCAAACCCTAAACCCTAAACCCCATGAATCCTATAAAACCTAAAAATCCTAAACCCCAAACCCTGAACCCCACCCCAAACCCTAAGGCCCTCTAAACCAAAGCCAGCCGCCGCAGGTGCTAATAGCAGCGCTGTAGAGGACCGCGTCTGGGTTCAGTCTGAGTTTTGGCATCCTTGGCTCTAAGGTTTAGGGTTCTTAGGGTTTAGGGTTTAGGATCTAGGCTTAGTGTTTAGGGTCCAGGGTTTAGGGTTTAGGATCTAGGGTTTAGGGTTTAGGATCTTAGGGTTTAGGGTTTAGGATCTAGGGTTTAGGGTTTAGGGTTCAGGGTCTAGGGCTTAGGGTTTAGGGTCTAGTGTTTAGGATTTAGGGTTTAGGGTCTAGGGCATGCTTGGCTCTACTGGAGATACGTACACTACGGTTGATGATGTAAACCTTGCATTACCTTAAGGACCCTAGACTATGGGAATTATGGTACATTCTTCATTATTGGTAATGCAGGGTTTATACCATCAACCGTAGGATCCCGCTGTCACCTATCTAAACCCCTATAGACCTACCCAGTCCCCAGAGCCCCCAGTCACGCACCAAGGAACTCGGCGAAGAGCCCAAGAGCTGCTTGCCACCGGGAGCCTTTCGCCAGAGAGCTCAATACTGAGCCTTGCAGGTGAGCACGGCGTGTAGGATTTACTTACCTTCGGTTAGTAGGGAATGGAGGACTGGGGTACAATTATGACCACTGTTACTACCATTCTTCCATTCCCTACTAACCAAAGGTAAGTTTAGGGTTTAGGGTTTGGAGGTCCGGATGTCGAAGTAGGGGTTTTAGGCGGTTTAGGGCTTACGGCTTGGGAAGCCGGATTTAGATTAGAGTGTCGGGTGTGATACTGAGCCTGGTCTGCATCATGACTTCTGGATTCTAGAGATTGTGACGCGCACGGGCATGACTTGTGACAGTTGGGACGTTCCGTGGCATTGAAAACGCGGGCAGTCGTTGTGGACGTGGTGATGGGAAGCTGATGTTGGAATGGTGGTCTGCAGAATAGCCGGGACAGTGGGGATATCATGACGACTCTCCTGTTCATGGTGATAGTAATGATGAAGACGATGATGACGACGATGGTAATGGTAATGGTGATCACGACGATAAACGCAGAACTCGATGCATCAAACACTGACAACCCCACCTCCGAGTCCAGCAAAGTCACCACACCCCTGCACTGAAACCCCTCACCCCTACCTGAACCCCCCCAACAAGTAAGTAAAACAATGACTCAATACCTGTAGAAGGCGTTTATTCCTACATACTTTCCGGGTCCAGATAAACCCCAATACACCTTAAAACCCTAAAACTCTACGCCCTGAACCGAACCGCAAACCTCAAGCCCTAAACCCCAAACGCGGAGCATCCGAGGAGCTGTAGACGATGAGGTCTGCCGCCAACCTCGCCTGGGGGAACCCGGAGAGCAGGTCGCAGGCTGACGACCACTGCCTGGCAGTAGGGAATAAGCTTTAGGGTCCCAAAGGGTCCTAGGTACTGTTATAGGGAATACATCCCTAAGTCATGATAGTAATTCCTAATATGGAAACCCTACATTCATTCTACCATATAGGGACATAGGACCCTTTGGGGGTTTAGGCATCTGAATTTAGGGTTGGGCTTTGGGTTTAGCGTTTAGGATTCAGGGTCGTCAAAGGGATCTATCAGGGTTTTCTATAAGGGTCCCTTATGGCAAGGGAGGCGGGGGAGTCTACCCTAAGTAAGACCCTCGACCTTCAACCGTAAACCCTGAAACCCTAAACCGCCAAGAAGTTTAAGAAAGTCAGGAGCTAGGGAATATGGGCATTTCAAGAGGGTTTATGGTCGGGCTTAAGATCTTGATACTACCACAATTGGGCTTGTAAGAGGCTTTAACTCACTAGCCCAAGACCCAAGGAAATAAAAGTTGAAACTTTCAGAATCGACTACCGTATAAGAACCCCAAAAGTTGAAAAGTTGAGTCTACAGCCAATAAGTTAAGTTCAGGCCTAAGCTTGTAGCAGACTTCCTCTAAGCCCTAAGCTCTAACCCCCAAACCCCAAGCTACCCTAAAACCCTTAGCCCAAAACCCAAACCCCATAAACCCAAATAAGGCTCTACCAGGGGGCTCCCTTTAATTTAAAGGTACGATAGGGCTCTATAATGGGGTGCCCTTCAAGGGCTACTCTAGGGTTCCATAATAGGGTTCCCTTTACCGGGGTTCCTATAGCATACACTTACCAATATTGGTTCCCAACTTCTATATCCTCCCGATCGTGCAGGCTTGTGAAGTTCTACGCTCCAAACACCAAATCAAGGCAGAGGAGACCTTAGAGGAAACAAGTACTACGGCTGCTTTTACAAATAGTAGTCCCCTCGGTTCCCCAGTAACCTGAATAACAGGGGCGCCATTTTCCTGGTAGTCTGCTTGTTACAAGGGGACCCCAATTTACAAAGGGCAAAGGGGTACTACTCAGGAAACCAGCCCCGTAAGAACGACGATAGCTATACGCGCTGCTGTTGCTTCTCGTAAGTCAAGCTGCCGACCCTTCTCGCAAGCGCTGATGACAGAGCTCACCCCTATCTTGTCCACGGCGATGTGACCTCACCACGATGCTTAGTCATACGGATGGTTGTCGAGATTAGGGTCCCTCGTTGGGTCCCTATTATAGTACGGCACCTGTTATTTAGGGTACCCAAAAAGGGACCCTAATTTTGACAACTACCCACACAGACTCCATGAGGTTTGAAGGATTGAGGCTTCTGGTACCCTGAAGGGTTGAAGGTGCAGATAGGGCCTTAACAAGTGGAAAGGGTTTGGGACGGCATAGTGTACTATAGTTTTAACAAGGAGCTCAAGGAACCCTGAGGAAGAATTTGCAGGGTTATCGGGGTGTATAGGCCGCATATTACGCATAGCCCTGTTGAAACTTCCCATAACCTGAACATGAACCTGTGGCATGAACGCTACCCAGGGACGATGTAAGATGTCGGCCGGCTGGGCGGAATCTTGAGCTTCTAGTTCTACAGTAGACCCCATAAAGTTGGAAACCGGATTAAGGCCGAATAGTGCTGGGATTCCCTTTAGATGACTCTTAAGGATTGAGCTATTGGGTTTCCAACTTTTGGGCTTCTACTGTAGAGGTGGAGACTGTTGAACAACTCGAACAAAAAGCGGCGAACACTAGAAACCCAGAACACCTAGCACTCTACTATCCTACCCTACTCCTTGTGCAGCGGAGCTGAAAGTTACTCCTTGGGTTAGAACTACCCCCAGATTACTATTGGCTGCTCTACGACTAGATCTAAGTCCGAGACCCTAAGCCCTAAGTCTTCGGCTGTCGGTCAAGATACGGTCTAAGCCCTCAACCCTGAACCGTTACAGAACCCTTTACAAGGTCGCTTGAAAAGCACGCTTTACGGAATCCTTAGGCCCTAAACCGCGAACACTTAACCCTAAACCTTTGACCATAAACCCTTAGTGAAAGGGTCCAAGTAGTCCCTATTTAAGGTTTTTGATACCCAAAAAGACCCTAAAGTCCTATAATAGGGGAGTACTTGGACCCTCTGGGTTCAAGATCTTCGTCTGTTGGGCAAGCTACGTTCTGGCATGTCAGATAGCAGCTGGATCGCCACTTGCCACTCTCCACCTGGAGCGACCGTTACGGTTTAGGGTTTAGGACTTATGGTTTAGGGCGTAGGGTTTAGGGTTTACCCTCATACTGTGGATGGGCAAATTCCTGCATGACCCAATATAGGGAATATACCATAATTCCCATAGTTTAGGATCCTTAAGGTCATGCAGGATTTTGTCCATCAGCAGTACGGCTCTCTTAAAGGAGCACATTCTAGTCATTAAGGGCCCTCTATTCGCTTCGAGATGTTTTGGATTTTATCCATAAAGTCTTGTGTAGAACCCAACCGCGATACGGTAGGGTTAAAGGCTTTAGGGTTTAAGGTTTGAGGCTTTCAGGGCTGGTGGGCACTGTATGGGCGTTTGTGAAAATTATGGTCCCCTTTTAGATACCTATTGTAGTACGGCACCTATTATTCAGGGTACCCAAAAAGGGACCTTAATTTTGACAACCACCCATATAGGACTTTATGGATAAAGTCCAAACAACTCGATTCGACTAGAAGGCCCTTAATGACTAGTATGTGCTCCTTGAAGGGGTCCTTTAATGAAAAGCCCTGTGCAAAACACACCGAAAGCAATCAGAGGGCCCTTAAGAATAGGAGTGGGGCTCCCGAAACCCGCCGCCCGCCACCCCCCAACCGAAGCCGCCTCGCTCACAGGCGCTCAAGCCAGCATTGAACGTGATGCTGTTCGGAGAGAGCCTGAAGAGTGACCTTCTCTGGGCTTCCCTTGAACGGTTTAGGGGTCAGGGTTTAGGGTTTCGGGTTTAGGGCTACCTCCAGTCTCCACTGTAGTTCCTTTTTTGGGTTAACCAACACCTACATTTTAAGATCCTAACCATAAAGCTGGTTAACCAACAACAGGAACTACGATGGAGAGTATAGGTAAGGGCTCAGGGAGGTTTTGGCTGTGCGTTATGGGCTTACAGGTCTGGGATTTCATTGAGGGCTTTGGCTGAATCTAGGTGTGAGTGACCTTCGCTACCTATAGTCTCGTTACCTGATAGGATCCCAAGTACAAGAACCCTAAGACTCCAAATAGCCCAAAGGAGGTAGCATTTCTAGACTTTAGACCTCAAAGTAGGTACTATTTGTATACTTGGAGTCTTAGGGGAAAGCAGCTTCACGCAGAACGCCCAGCGACATGCTCGAGAGCAAGAGAATGGCGGCTTCCCACTGTCCAGCCACTTGACAGGCGCTGATCACGCCTCCTACCTTACGGCTTGCCCAAAGGGTCCAAGTATCATTATGGTATCTTGAGGTCTAAGTATATACCATAATGATACTTGGACCCTTTGGGTTGGGGTTTGCTCCTAAACGCTGATCTTATAACCCTATAAACCCGGCCCTAAGCAGTATCTCTAAACCCTAAACCCTTACGTTTAAACCCCCAGAAACTGATTACAGTGTGGCAGGGTCTGAGGGTACTAATGTCAAGCGCATGCTTGAAACAAGAATTCTCATCTACAAGATTGCTAATGGTTAGGGCCGTAAGAGTTAGAGTGGGGTTCTGTAGAGATTTGTGGGTCTATATAGGTTCTACATGGTCTTATACGGTTACATATTCACAAGACCCACTGCTTGCTAAATGAGGTTTCGGTGCGTCTGATTGAGAACGGACCGGCATGATTCCATAAGTCTGGCTGCTTGGGGAATGGGGGTGTCTTGCAAAGAACTTACGGCTTCGGGAGTACGATGGAGTGTCTTACTTCTCATGGCCCATATATAAACCCATCAAAAAGCCCCGTTTGCCGAGGCCGAAGTTGCCAGCATCACATCCGGACACAAGTCAGCCGTCGGCATCTCGGCCAACAGCTGCAGAGCTATCTGCCACTGTCCTCCACTTGCACACGCACTGATGGCAGAGCTGCATGCCACCACATTGCTTTCGACAGCAGCAAGGCTCCTTGGCTCGCTTGAGGTTGAGGGTGTGGGGCTTAGGATTTCGGGTTAAGGTTTAAGGTTGTGAAACTGGCACAAGCCACGAAAGCCGAACCACAAAACCCCAAAGCCCCAAACAGCAACCTTATGTGCATGTCGTTACATATCAGCAGCCCAGGAGGCCGGGAGCTCAAATTGAGATAGGTCTTTGCAGGGGCAGGTCCCACACTTTGAAGTTTTGGGTTAAGGCTTGAAGCATGAGCCCTGACCCGACAAATCTTGAGCCATGGCCCGGAGAGCTGCACCCTAACTTTCGGAGCAGCATGGTATGCTTTGAAGGAAGTCTAGAGTCCTTCCTACGGCGGCTTGGTACAGGACGACGAAACCAAAACCGAATTCCTAATTTCGAGCCTGCAAACCTACAAGACAATATTAAAACGCCCTAAATTTAAAGGCCCATACACCTGAAACCCATATCCGGATCTTGGTCCCGGATAAAGACCATCTTCGCTCCCTGAACCTCCATTTATTCCGAACAGGCCCCAATCAAAACCGAAAGTACAACCATATAGAACCCATATAGAACCCCTACCCAGCGAACGCTTGTAGAACCCTTTTTGAGTCGCTGCAGACTCCTCTATAGACTATATAGACCCCATCCATGCATCTCTTCCCAGGCGTCATTTGCCAGGGTTTAGGGCTTAGTAGGGTCTATCGGATGTAGGGTCTGTAAACCCCAACCCTAACTAAACCCTCAACACTAAATCCTAAATCCTTATCAACCCTAAACCCTAAGCCCTTATAAACCCTAAACTCTTGTAAACCCTTGTAAACCCTAAACCCTAGACCCTAAACTCCAAATCCTATAGACCCTATCTTCCCAAGCGGCATGGCGCGGAAGAGCGCCAGGCCGGTCGGCCAGGCGCCGGCGCGTGCGCAGGCAGCGATGCTGGCGCCGAAGCTCACGACGTCCGGGGTCAGCCCAAAGTCGATCATGTCCTTATAGTTTGAGGGTTTATAGGATTTAGGGGTTTAAGGGTTTAGGGTTTAGGGTTCTTGGAGGTCCATGGGTAGTTATAAGTGGAGTTATAAGTAGGGTAACTATAATTATAGCCCATATTAGGGGACGTATAACCCCACTTATAACCTCCAAGTTCGGTTTTAGGGCCTGGGGTTTAGGGTTTGAGTTTTGGGGGCTAGATAGGGAGTGTGTGCTTACAATGGGGAAGTTTATTGGTTATAGGTTAATCATCGACGATATTAATATACAGGCTCTTGGCAGGTTAGTCGATCATGCCCTAAGAGTCGAACGCCCAAGCTTTGCCGTAGGGTTTGGGGGCAGTCCGGGGCAGTGGTCTACCTGGAGGGGCAGGGGACTTGGTAAGTAGGTTATAAGTAGAGTTATAACTTGTATATACCCTAAATGGAGTTACCCCAATGATAGCCCTACTTATAAACGACTTACTAAGTCCGCTGCCTCTCCAAGCAGGCTTAGGGTGCTTCAGCCTGAATAACAGGGCTTATACATGCAGGGGTGTAGGAATAGAACTAGGGTCAGAGATGTTCCACGACGCTGCCCCGGAACCCCAAAACCGTCTTTTCGAGAGATCTATATTCGGATTCGATGGCGATTCACACTTTTTGCACAAACCCAAAGGCTCCATGTACCTTTATTGTGGATACTTAAGCCTTAAAGGGGTCCCTATATAGGTACTTCAAGTATGTACTATATGGGTACATGGAGCCTTAAGGAAAGAAGGTAAAGAAAAGCATTGGCCACCAGAAGCTAGGTCACCAACACCACACAAACAGAGGATCCTCTTTTCAACCTATCAGGGTTCCTAGAAAGAGCTCGGCCTCCCGGTAAACCCTTATCCGTTAAGCCTTAACCCGTAACCTGAGGCCTGACCCCACAGTTTTGAAGCTCTGTGTACACCAGACTGAGCTGTAGTAGTAGTAGTAGTAGTAGTAGTAGTAGTCCCACTCACCAGATGCGACGGCTGTACACTTGCACAATGAAAGCGCTTCAGGTGCGAATTGTGGATTTCGGGCGGCTTTGAACCATAAAACCCTGGCCGCAAACCCTAAGCCCGGGCTTCGGTTGACCATGATTCACGGACCCTGCTTGCAAACTTCGCAAAGCCCTACCCAAACCCTGAACGACGGATACAATCCTACAGTCTCCGTACGAGGCAATATACGCCAAGCTCTCTGCTTTATAGAAATTTTAGGTGCTGCAGAGTTGGGGCGCAGACGTTTGAACACAATGGCATCCTAACCACATTCCCGGAACCCTCAGCACATCACCAGGCTTATGCCTTTTGCGTAGTCTAGGAGACTCAAAGTTCGGAACTTAAGCCGTTTAGGGTTTAGGGTTTAGGGGTTTAAGGGTTTAGGGGTTTAGGGTTTAGCGGCTTAAGGGTTTAGGGTTTAGGGCTTAGGGGCTTTATGTGTAGGATCTGCTATACTGAAAAGTAAGTACCCTAAAACGATGTAAGGCTTGACCCAATAGGCAAGACCCTCAACCCTCTGTTTGCGGGATGCAGCCATGTAACGTTGAAGAGCGCCAGTGCGACTTGCCACTGCCGCCCTTTGGCAGATCGACTCACCTTCGAGGCTGGTACGGGCTTTTAAGGTTTAGGGTGTAGGGTGTGGGGCCGTTTCGGGCTCAGGGCGCAGGGCGTAGGCCTGAGCATTTAGGGTTCAGGCTAGAGTCTTGGGGTTTCATGGTCTTGGAAGCATGTCACTGGCAGTTTGCCAATGACACTGGTAGGTAAGAGATCCGACGATGCTGTGCTGTCCGCTCCTTTTCCACGCGCTCTGTGAGCGTCCACGAAGTCAGCTCTGCCGAGCCGCACAGGAGGCCTATGGCCACGAGGGAGCACTATGTACTCACGTCAGACTAGTAGCCAAAAGCTTGGGCCGAAGGAGCTCCTGAGCAGCAAGAGAGATTGCGAAAACGCCTGATTCGGAGTGTTTGCATAATCATGCCATGGCTTTGCCTTTGACACACCCCAAAGACTTTACAAGAAGAATCAGGCTTAAGCGCTTGCAGCGACAAACTGTACATCCAAGGGATCCGAGCGATCGGCACCGTCCAAGATGCGTCGGCGTTTAGCACTCATGAAAGCACCGGGATGCCGTAGACGCCAATGGCCTTGCAGCAGGAACTTCTTCAAGACGTCCTGTTTGGCAGACTTTGTCAGTCCATCTGCCAGCTGATGATCAGAATCGCACCAGTTGAGGATTGTGCCTTGATTCTGGATGTTTTCGCTGATGCCCATGAGCTCCAATGAAGTATACTTATCCTTGACGTTGAAGGAAGCCATGCCGGGATCAGCCTTCATCAAAGCGTCATACACACCTCTGGCGTCGATGATCAAGTGGCCAGGAACCTTGGAAGTGCTAGCAGCCGGATTGTGCACATCAATCTTGCCGCCGTTGAGCTCATACCAGGCAAGGCGAGCGTACATCAGCTCTTGTTCGCAATTGCTAAGAGCTTGAGCCTCAGCAGACAAAGAACTCCGGGCAACACGAGGCAGCTTATAGCTGCGCCAGCTGATGATGTTAGCCTTGCCCTGACCTACCTCGATGGACTTGGGACTCATTAGTCCGATGATCAATCCTCCAGTGCTTGTACCGTCAGGACGATTGGCAAGGGAAGCATCTGACCAGGCCACGAAGGTTGCATCCTTCGGGTCGAACTGGCCCAGATTCTGAACTTGCACTGATATGTGCTTGGAGCTGTGGATTTCACGCACCAACTTGTTGATCTGATCCACGCATGCCCCGTCGCGAGATGACAGCAAGCTCTGGAGCATGCTGAGTTTCGCAGCATGGTGAGGCGCCGATTGAGTGACGCGCCATTGTGCTGAGCCCAAAATCGCCTTTGCCTGTCGAACTTGATTGTCGTTCAAAGGCATTCCTGGAGTTCCAGGATCCATCTGAACCAAATCTGCACAAAAGCTTGAGTGGTCCAAAGTCACCGACCAATCTTCGTGCTGGAGTAGTCGAATGCCGCAGTGGACGAAATCTCCTTGTTGCCAGGGTGCCCATGTGTAGGCAGCTTTAAACCCTGCCAGGAAGCCGAGCCAATTGGCATCTGTCGCGCTTCCCATGATGAGGAAATCGTCAACGTGACTGGCTAACGCGCCAGCCACCTCGCCGTCCGTGCCCATGACAATCCAAGCACAGGGGTCAGTGCGGCACTGCAGGGCGCCCAGCCGTTTGAGGGTCGCCGAAACATCCGCAAACCACTCTTTTGGAGCTGTTGCCAACCCGTAGGCTGAGCCCGTTAGCTCCACGCATTCTTGAGGAGATAGTTCCAGCATCTCCGCCAACTCTGGAAGGGGCTTAGCCAACAGTCGCCTGCCACGATCAGCAGGTCGAGCCTGCAAGAATGCCGTTCGGACATCTGCAGAAAATATCGCCCACTGTTTGATGCAGGCCAGGTTCAGCATCAACTGCCGTGTCAGCTTTGACATGGTAGGAGAAGCCGTAGTGTCCTCCAACAAGCCCGGGTCACTGAACCCGAGGATGACTATCCTCGCCTTGGCCTTCACTTTCTTGTTCCCTGCCTCATCAGGATCAGCTTCCTTGAACGTCAGCACCCAGCGCATCCGCAAGAGCTGAGACTCGGGGACGTGCTCGGCCACCTTCTTGCACACCTTGAGCTGGACCCATTGCGCCACCTCAAGTCCTTTGGCTTCAGCCATTGCAGCCCTCTGTTCAGCCGAGAGGCGTTGCCAGCTGACCTCCACGCCTTTGGAGACAGCTTTGCTCATAAACTTTTCCGGATGCTTGACCATCTTCTTCCAAGCTTGAGCATCAGCAGGGGCATCAATGGTCACCGCAAAGACTTTGTCTGGCTCGGCCGTCTCCAAGAACAAATTGGAGGCATTTCCTTGCTTGACGTGTAGTGGCCGGTCTTCCTGCTCATGGCGGGCTCGCTGCTCTCGAAAGCTTTCTTGAGGATAGGGAGACACACGGGCCGACGCAGGGATCGGCTGAAACGGCATGTAGCCTGGGTCATTGAAGAGCTTGTTCAAGTCGATGAGTTCATCCCCAGGAACCATTTCTTCCTCACCGTCAGGCTCGGGAGCATCACGTTTCCGAGAAGAGGCATCACCTGCAGGGATTAGTTCCTCCTCGGAGTCAGGTGCTAGAACATCAGAAGGTCCTTCTCTCGGTTCCTCAGCTTGCTCGTTGTCGTAGTCCTCAATGCCGGGGAGCTCGAGATCATCTGGATACACCGCACGCTCCTTCGTCATGTCCTCGTAGGCTCCTTTGTTCAGCATAGAGGTGAGGTTCGACATGGTCCAGGGATACGTGGTTCCAGTTGATTGTTGTGCAATCAAGTGTTCTGACTCAGAGGCCGGTCGCACCTGGGTGTAGTGGCACTTCTTGAGTCTGCCTTGAGCGATTATCCACAGATGCGAGGAAGGTCGGCGTTCTCCCGGGGCACCTCGGGTTTCCGTCGCAAGGACCCTCGCAGGTCCGAACCATCGAGAGATAGTCATTCTTGGATGGTCCGTAGATAGATTCGCTGGGAGATCATGAGGTGTTTTGTACCGGCGGTAGTAGATCAAGTCGCCCGGGAGGTAGTGCTGGTACGCCGAAGCCTTGGACCGAGCAGCTCTATCACCAAGGTCCTTGTGGCGGAACTCAAGGAATGCCTGGGCGGCGCGTAGTCGTAGTCGTTGCACTGCATGAAGATCTGACCCAGGGGTCCCAGCACTTGAGAGCGAAGAGAGTTCATTGTGACCTTCATTAGCATGTCCACTCAAAGTGAGGTCGCGGCCAAGCGCCCATTGAAGTGGAGAAAAGCCGTGGATGCGGGCTAAGCTGTTGTGCGAGGTCACCATGGAGAGAGCCACTTGACGAGGTGGTTCCGGTCGCTCTCGGATGAAGGTCTCGATCTTTCTCCGGAGAGTGCCAATGGATCTCTCCACTTCGCTGATAAATTGATGATGTTCTGCAGGAGCATGAAGAAGCTCTACACCTCGAGTCGCGCACCAGTCCCGAAGCAGAGCACCTCGCAAAGCACTTTCTGCATCCAGCTTGATCCTCTCAGGGAATCCAAAGTACTGCGTCCACGCTTCCTCCAGGAGGTGACAGATCTGAGCTGAAGTGGCATTGCCGCCTTGGTTGGACGGGTGATCAAACACAAGACGGATCACCGCGTAACCCGAGCACTCATCAACGAAGAGGAGGAAGTGGTAGATGCGATCGTCAATCTTCATGTGGAACAGATCCATCTGGAGGTCGGTCCACAGGCGGTCGGATCTGGATAAATCCACAGGTGGTCGTGGGACCTTGATTCGACTCTCCAAACATGCGTCGCACTTCAGCTGTGAGGCCGCAGCAATCAACTTCTTGTCAGCATGGCGAGCTTGAAGGTTCTTCACCAGGAGACGGTTTGAGGGATGACCTAGCCGAGAGTGGATGCGATGGGCTCGTTCCATCAGCTCTCCAAGTTCCTTTGCAGAGATGCCGTCGAGAACCGTCATGTCCACGGCACCGATCAAAGAAAACACCGCATCGTTCCTGGTAACCTGCTGCATCGTCCGGGCCACCACTTTGTTCAAATCAACTGGCGCCGTCCAGGAGCACGGCAGGCACTGCAGCAGGGAAGTCGAAGTAGATCGAAAACCTTGATCGCCACATTGCATCAGGCGGCCTTCAGCATGGTCTTGGTGCTGATGCCAGAAGACCCGAACGCTTGTCAGAAAGCGTGCTGAGCTTGTCTTCGCTTGGCACCATAGCACTTCACCACCAGCATCGATTTGCACCTGGGCCACTTCAAGAAGATGTTTCACCACCTTGGAGAAACGTCTCCAGGCGGAAGAGCTCATCTCATCACTCATTCCTTTCCGCTCTGGGCCCAACGGAACGTGGCACACCAGCCACCGCGGGGACTTATTCATCACCGTGGCCTTGACTAACTCGGCTCCTCGAACTGTTCCGAGATCACCACCTTCAGCAAAGCCAAGAGTTTGAACCCACTCGCCTCGAGCTTGTAGTTCCTCACGTAGGTTGGAAGGAGAAGCGCAGCAGATCTCCAAGCCAAATAAGGACGCCTCAGGATCCTCCACCTCGAAGTTCTCGAAGAGGAGGTCTTGGTACTCCTCATAGTCGTTGAGGATCATCGTCTTTTCGTCCGCTGTGAGGGAAGATTCTTGCATACCTTGGTTGTTGTCATCAGCCACGCTCAACGCCAAAGCTGTTGGTTTTGGAAGTGGGAAGGAGGCTTGTAGTAGATCACGTCGCAGCTCAGGATCAAGATCCCGAAAGGATCGGGCAGTGAATGCTGCCAGAGCAATGCGCGTTCCCTTCCAGGGCATGGTGGCGTGCCACCTGTCAGGTGTGAACTCGATCACCTTGTGTCGGGGAGAAACCAAGATGCCAGAGGCCAGAGAGCCGTTGGGTTTGCGGCGACGGCGATCATCTGTAGATTGTGGTTCATCAAGTTGCCGTTCAAGCCAAAGTTCACCATTCTCGTGCTCTCCAAAAGTGATGACGTAGTTCGGCTGGCCCTTTAAGTTGTGCAAGTCACGGTGAGGCTTGGACTCCATGTTGTAGATAATGGAGAAGGTAGTCCATTGGGCAGAAGAGGGTGCCCACACTCGAAGCCATTGGTTGACGAACTTGCACAAATGAGGATTCTGGAAAGTGGAGTTCATGACTCCCGACTGGGATCCATGGGCATACAACCCGTAGCTCACCACGAAGGAGGAGGTGGTCTTCTTGTCCATGAACTTTCGTTGAGGGACGGCATGAGCGGCTCGAAGCTGTCCCAGGAAGTCCTCCATCGCCTTGAGGGAGAAGTCTTTGTTCCTCACATAATTTTCCGCCATACTCTCAACCAGCTTCTCATTTTCCAGAATGGCATAGCTCACTGGTTCCCTTTTCCTCGCTGGTTGTACTCCTGGGCCTCCGCCGTCTCCTCGTGGTGCCGCACTGCCTTCCGACCGGGGTGGTTCTGCATGCCGTCCGGGATCTCCTCCACCTCGACCAGCACCGCCGAAGTTGCCAAAGAGCTCGTGGGAGAGGTCGCCGCCGGTGTAGGACTGTTCGGAGTCGCGGTAGTCGGAGAGCCCTTTTGCGAGCCCCGTTTGGGCGCCGCTCCTTTGAGCCCAGCTTGATGGCTCATTCGGGCCTGGCGAACTCGTTGGAGGTTGTCCTCGGCACTCTTCTCCGCTGCTGCCCAGCCAATGTCCTTGTCCTTCAGCGTGGTCAGTTGAGGTAACTCCTCCTGAATCGCAGACTGGACATCCTTCGGCAGGGCTCCCGGAGAGCGGTGCAGAGCATGGCACCCCGCTCGCGGTGTGTACCGGAGGCGCAAGAGACATCGTTCGCATGCCACCCATTCGCCATACTGATTCGCTCCTGAGGGGCTGCCCTTGTACATCTTCGCAGGAGTGTGGTTGCCGTTGCACGGAGGTCCGCTGTGTCGAGGGTCCCGGGGATCGCTCTCGACAGTTCTGTCCCAGTCCAAGGGCTGAGACTTGTAGCCCCCTTTCTTGGGCTTCGCTTTGGTTGCCTCCGTCCCGGAGGTCACGAATTGTTCCTCGCCCTTCTCGTTGTGCTTCTGGCATGTCGATGGCGCCGAAGACGGAAGTCGCTGGGCCATGAAGGGCGAGGAGAGAAAGCAGGATGCTGTGAGAGCGCATGGACTCTGAGTCCGTCTCCTCGAGCCGGAATGCATCAGCAGTCACCGGGACCTCATTGTCGAAAGCATGATCTGAAACGCACTCACTTGCAACATGGCCGGATTCAGGAGCTGGATCACACAGAGCAGGCATGACATCACTCACTGGCGAATCCCCTTGCTCGAATGACTGAACCATATACGATGTTTCATCACGATGCGGAAGAACCGGTGGAGCGACTCTTGCGCGAGGGTTCATCAAGCTAAAGGAGTGAACCATCAAGTCCTGCCGTAAATCCAGCAAAAGATGGCCTGTCACACTGCGCTTCAACTGGATACCTCGGTGCGGATCCACAGCACCCATAACCAGCACATCACGATGGCAATCGATAACAGAGCGCAACCGACGAAGTGTCTTAATGCCTATGAGCAGCGGCACTCCTTCCACATCTAGCGTGTAGATTCCCATAGGAACTTTGCGTGCGCCAAGAGTGACAGGTAAGAGTACATGCGACGAAGACATGTCTTGGGATCCATTTCCAAACTTGAAGCGCTTGGGAGGAACATTGGTGACTGATATTTCTTCGATTTGATGAGTAGACTCAAACCTCGCTAGCATCAAAGACTCCAAAGCGGGAAGGCTTCCGACTGTCTCAGTGGCTCCTGAGTCCAAGACTGCAAACCCGTCCAAATTGGACCCAGATGCTGCCTTCTGCACCAGAATCATGTCGGGAACATCCATCACGGGACTGGGTGTAGTAGATGAGGTCTGATCTGGTCCGCCTTCTTGCACAGCGAGCACCAACGGAGCTGAAGTCACTGAACCATCATCGTGAGTCACCAGGTCGACCTTGGAAACCATCGGAGAAGTCGTGGGAGCTGTTCTGGTAGCCATCGGAGAAGTCGTGGGAGCTGTTCTGGTAGTCATCGGAGAAGTCGTGGGAGCTGTTCTGGTAGTCATCGGAGAAGTCGTGGGAGCTGTTCTGGTAGCCATTGGAGAAGTCGTGGGAGCTGTTGTGTCATTGCTGCCCAGGGGAACCTCGGTGAGCATGTACACCTCGTTGTCCATGTGGAAGTGAACCTTGCCACCTGCCTTGCCACCTGCCTTGCCACTGCCCTTGGAGGATCGCTTTGGGCAGTCCCTGAACTGGTGGTTCTTATCTCCACAAATGAAGCAGCCGCTGTATCCTGCCTGACCAGGGTTCACCGCAAAAGCAGAACTCTCACTCAACAGGACGGGCACAGTCATGTTGGCGGTCGGAGAAGAAGGAGAGGAGCCTTTCTTGCCCTTGCCCTTCCCTTTTGAGAAGGGGCGACCACGGCCCTTCCCCTTGGAAGCTCTGAAACCTTTTGCTTGCGGGGTAAAAGGATAAAACCCGCGGCTCAAATGGCGAGCTCGAACTGCTTTCCGAGCGTCAACAAAGGACCGTAGTTTGGTGTCTGCTGTCTGGTAGGCTTCCTCCACCTGCTGCAACTCCTCAGCCGAGAGGATGCTCAAAGGGTCCTCGTCATAACCCCAGGTGGCAGGCTCATCGCCCCAGTAGGCATCTTCTGGAGCACTCTGGCGAAGATCTTCACTGTAGTCGTCCTCGGCATCCCAAACGTTAAAGGCGGTCTCATCGCCCACATAGTGTAGAGGAATGCCCTCCAAACTTTCGCCAAGGTCCTCTTCATCAGCCAACAAGATACTCCAATGGCCCTCATCTTCCACCCAGAACGATCGTCTTCGATGTCCGGCATGGGGTACTCGCACATGTTCCTGAGCCAAGAGTTCATCTTCCATTCCCCGAAGAGCCACCTCTACTCGGTCAAGCTTCAAAGAGTTTCCCGAAGCCGCCTGAACACTCAGCCGAGCCTGGGCGCTCAGCCCTGCCCGTCTGAGCAAGAGCCATCCAAGTAGCTCTGATGGGAGCACTTCCTCAAGCTTCTCCTCATAGCGGTTCCATATCTCCAGGTCTGCCAAAGCCTTGACGCTATCGTCACTGTCGCTGTCCTTGTCCTTGCGGGGCCGGCGTGAGTTCCTAGACCCTGGAGTCCGAACCGGAGAAGAAGGTGGATCGTCATCGCCTCCAGGTCGAAGCTCCTCTTCATCAGGAGGCCCAGCCAGAGTCTCCGTCTCATCCTGCTCACCTTCCGTCTGGTCTTCAGCGAGCGGCTCCTCTACGGTTCCTCGGCTGGTACGCCTGGAGGTTCGAGGCTTCGAAGGGGTACTGGTTGGAGAAGCAGAAGAGGCGGAAGTCCGAGGCTCTTTCCGTGCACGTGCCAAAGCAAGTTGTAGCTGGCGGTAGGCATCCCGAAGTTGAGTGGCCCATGTAGCCATGCTAGTGCCCGGACTTCTTCTGAGTCTGATCATCAGCTGTTCGAGACGTAACCCAACATCAGGTATGGGCGTTTTGCACAATCGATCGCGAAGGAACTCGATCAGGTACACTACTCCGTCTCGACGAACAAGCTGACGATGATCTAACTCCTGAGTCACCACCCAGGCACGGCCGCTCAACTGGCCCACTATCTCGGGCCCCAGTAGATGTCGTTTGCGACGGGCCGTCTTCTCAAAGGCCAAACGAACGCATCTGAGGAAATCAGCCCAGCCGCCTGGATCTCCGTTCCACTGGCACTTAAGCCAGGAGGAATCCTTGTCGCCTGAATTCATGAATTACGCTGCAGCGCCACCGAAGAGGAACTCAAATGGGTGCACGGCCTTCGTGTCGGGGAATGTCACCCGGGTTGTCGTTGATCAGCAAGTAGGTGTCGGCACCGTCGGAGCCCTCAACCTCCAGTGGTCGGGCCGTGAGCGTCTCACAGCAGTAGGGAGCCCGGACCGCAGCTCCGCTACCAATGTCACTGGCAGTTTGCCAATGACACTGGTAGGTAAGAGATCCGACGATGCTGTGCTGTCCGCTCCTTTTCCACGCGCTCTGTGAGCGTCCACGAAGTCAGCTCTGCCGAGCCGCACAGGAGGCCTATGGCCACGAGGGAGCACTATGTACTCACGTCAGACTAGTAGCCAAAAGCTTGGGCCGAAGGAGCTCCTGAGCAGCAAGAGAGATTGCGAAAACGCCTGATTCGGAGTGTTTGCATAATCATGCCATGGCTTTGCCTTTGACAAAGCAAGCAACCCTCCGAGCTTGCGGGTTTGGCCAGGACAGAGTTGAAACCTACGCTTCAGGTGCAGGGTATAGCTTAGGGTTACAAGTTCAGTCTCAGGGTCCTCAAACCTACCTATAGTCTCCATTGTAGTTCCTTTTTGGGGTTTCCTTTTCGGATCCTTAATATATAGGTTTGGTTAAACCCGAAAAAGGAACTACAATGGAGACTACACGGCTCAAAATAGCCCAAAAGCCTTGTGTATAGTCTAGTCTTCGGCCCAAGCGGCTTAGTTAAGAGTCCTTAATGTAGGAACCTGATTTAGAAACCTTGGGCCCTAGGGTTCCTTCTATGAATCCTACTGTTTTGGGGTTATAGGCCCAGGGTCTCTTAATCAGGTTCCTACATTGGAGACTAAAGGGAAAGTGATCCAAGTAACCGCATCGTTGAACGCCCGCTCGGGCAGTCGCAATCTCTTCGCGAGCGTGGAGGATATGGAGTGAAGGGCCTCCTCCCACCCTCCTCGCGTGCTCCTGCTGCGCGGTGACCAAGGAACCCTAAACCCCTAAACCCCAAACCGCTAGACCCTAAAACCCCCAAACCCTGAATCCGAAAACCCTAATCCCTAAACCCCGCGAACCCCAAATCCTGGCGAACCTAAACCCTCCATCACTGAAACCCCATACTTACTAGCAGGGGACGACTGGTCGAAACTCATCGAGGTTCTCGCCGGGATGTTGGTGATTTCGGTGGATAAACATCGAGTTTTCGGGTTTTGGGCGCTCAATATCTCAGAAAAGGGGGTCGGGATATACTGTAGTGTAGTTTCACCGGGACTATATTGGAAGGGAGCCTACACCCTAAGCTGCCTCGCTGCATTGCCCTCGCAGGGTGGAGCTCGCAGCATGCTTGTGCTGGAGCAGAAGCTTTCAATTCTAAAGAGCCAGCAAGCCAGAAAAAGGGGTTTCTGGGTTGCATGCTTTTGGGGCGTGCTGGGTTTGGAGTTTAGGCTTCGGGATGTACGGCTTGTGGTTTTGGGGCACAGGGCTCAAGTTTGCCGGAGTCGGAAGTTGAAGATTTGAACGGCCAATTCTGGAGACGGCTGCGATGCGCATGAGCATTCACAGACAGATCGAGTCAGTGCGGTTCAGGGTGCAAGGTTCGGGTTTTCCAGTGAGACTTCACAGATATACCTGTCTGAAGGGGTTAACACAGTTTCTGCGCGACAAATCTTCCCAAGTAACATGCTACCTATAGTCTCCATTGTAGTTCCTTTTTTTTGGTTAGCCAAAACCCCTATTATAGGATCCTAACCATAAAACTGGCTAACCAAAAAAAGGAACTACAATGGAGACAATAGGTAGCCCTAGAGCCGCGAAGGCTTCTGACGACTGCCGGGAAACCCTAAGCCCTAGCCTGCACGGTCCAGGCATTAAGTCTAAGAACGTGATATAGGGACCTCCATAGTTAGAGTTTAGGGTTTAGGGTTTGGGTTTATGGTTTAGGGTTTAGGGGACTATATAGGCTCGAGTTTGGGGCGGTGAATATAGCATCTTTCTGAAAGGGAACCCTGAGGAGTAGTAGTATTCGCCCTTCACCAGCCACTGACGATGATCCGCATTCCTGAAGGTTTCAGGTTAGGGCACCTAGGAATATGGGGGGGGGGGTTATAGCTTAATCGAAATCAATGCCGCTGATAGGTTAGAAGAAGCAGGGTCAGATTAGGACATCCCAAAGTGAGTAGGGTTCCTAAGGTACATATCATGCCTCATCAAAACGTATTTTCACCCAGTATTGAGAAGCCTGAACAATTGGACCAGAATATCGGGGCGTCTAGGGAACACAAGGAACCCTTGAGGGAATTCAATCACTAGTTGTTCCGGCACCCGATTGGGTTTCCCCCGAGTATGCCCGAAGCCGTAAGCCCTGAACCCTGAACCCTAACCCTTTACAGCCTGCGACAAAAAACCTGCAAACAAGAACCCCTTGAACCCGACGGAGGAAAGCAGAACGTATCCCAATGCCTCATGCCCTGAAGCGTGCATCCTGAACCCGGCAACCCTAAATCCCAAAATCCTGAGGTCCTGAACCCTCGATAGAGAGCCCTGAACATCTACACTTAAAAGAAAACTCTAAACCCCAAAGCCCTAAAGATTGAGCTGAGTCCTAAACTTAAGATCCTTAACCCCCAAACCCTCCAGGCCCCGAGAGCCCTAAAGCTTGAAGCCCATACCCGAAGCTCTTGGTTTAGGGTTTAGGGTTTAGGGTTTAGCCTTCAGGAGTTTGGAAAAGGCACCGCTCAACAGGAACCAAAAAAAACACGTGCCGCTCCCCTTTTCTAGACCGAGCCATTGGGCTACAAGTGCTCCCATCTCAGGGAGGAGCTGCATCAGCCTGAGGGTTGTTAGGCTTTAAGGTTTGGGGTTTGGGGGTTTGGGGGTTCTTCTAGGGTGTAGGGTCTAGGGTTTAGGGGTGTTAGGGGTTGAGGGTTAAGGGTTCAGGGCTCATATGGTTTACGGCTTAGGGTCTCTCTACGGTATAGGCTTTAGGGTTTATGAGCGCTGAAATCTGCGCTTCAATGGCAAAAGCGCCTAAACCTGTCTGTGCTCCTTGACGTTGATTGCTTCGCCAAGCGACATCAACCGTTCCGCACTCGTCCCACCTTTCGCACTGGAAGGAATCGAACAGTGTTCGACCAACTGCGAATGCCCATGGTGACATAGACGTGGCACATCAGTCTTAGACAAGTGTGCTTTGTACACACACACATACAATGATGCTATGAGGAGCAGACTTTCGATCAAGGAAGGTATGAGGCTCTTACGTAATACGGCTCAAAGTTGACAGCACGTGCCTGCTTGCGGCAGCTTCCCCAAACCAACACCTGAACCGGTAAACCCCAAAGATCCAAAACGCGACAGCCCTCAATCCTGAACTCTGTGTATGTTGCATGTTGCTGGAAGGTGTAAGTTTCAATTCATTTTCGCAGAAATGTTTAGGGCTTAGGATGCCCACAAAGCCTGCCTGCACCGATCGCAGCATCCAGTGCGAACACATCGGGCGCCACAGCTGCGGACTTCATGTCGGATAGCAGCTGCAGCACTCCTTCTTTGAGAAGCAGTCGAAGGGAAAGGAAAGCAGAGTCGAAGGGAAGGTATGAGGATGAACAACACGGCGCATTACCAGAATCAACTTACATGGGTAGTATGTCAGTGCAGAGTTCCGTCTGTCGTTCGAAAGCCGGTGAACCTTTCATTGAAAGAATATACAGATTCCCCCCCCCCCCCCCCCCCGCCAGCCACCCTGTACTTCTGAAGGCTTCGCAGGGTGCTTGGGCTGTGGGGCTAAGGGCGTCCCGTCTCAAGCCAAGACTGAAGGTCTCTAAGCCCCCAGAATTCAACACTAAAAACCCTGAGCTAGTAAGCCTCAGAACATACCCAGAGGCCACATAGTAGTTCCTTTTTGGGATTACCTTATAGTATTCTATATATGAACCCTCAAAAAGGAACTACTTTGGGGCCTCTGGGTAAAAACTAAACTCTGACACCCCAAACCCCAAATACGGAAGCTTACACCCCGGTTTAGGGTTGGGTTTAGGGCCAAAGCCCAAACCTTAAACTCTGATTCAATGAAATCGCTTTCGGAAAGACTTTTCGTCAGGAGAAGAACCTCTCCACTGGCTCCAGGCACCACAAGCGCTGATGCTTGCCTCTGGGCTTGATGGGTTGAGGGTTTAGGGATTGAGCTTCCCCTTTTCAAAGCCCCCAACGACCCAGAGAAAATTATGGATATTTAGGGTTTAGGGGGGCCACACTAGGATCCCTTTACTTTTGGGTCCCTCTAAAAATACGGCACCTAATATTTAGGGTAAAAAAAAAGGGACCCTAATTTTGACAACCACTGTGTATGTATGATGCAGGGCTGCCACACCCCCCCTCCCCCCCACCCCATGGTATCCTCCCCCCTTCCCGCCCGCCCCCCCCTGTGGTGTGGGGCCTGTGGTGGTACTCTTTTTGCCACGACGTTCGTATGTGTTACTCCTTGTCTTCCCTCTTGTTGTGGCACCGGTGATACTGCTCATGATGTTGTGCTGCTGTAGACCGGGACATGAGTCGACGATCATACCATGCTCAACATCATCCTTGTCGTCGTCATGTTCATCATTGATACCTGCAAAAGAAGATCTGCCACCATCACCATCGCAATACAACCCTCATAATTCAGCATTGCAATTCACGTCAGATGCCGCTTTCCGCACACGGCAGGGCATAGTGTGACACTCCCGATCCGCGCACAAGGTCAAGGGGCAGGCAAGTGCGGGCCGGGGGCGGCGGGGCGGGCAGGGCGGGTGGGCGTGCAGCAGCAGGGCGGCAGGGGGTTGGGGGGGGGGGATACCATGGGGGGGGGGGGGGGGGGGGGTGGCGGCCCGGGACCCGAGAGCATGTATGTGTGTATGTGTGGGTATATCTCCATTCCAGTACTTGTAACTTCAATTCCTGCTGTTCAACCACTCAAGAACCTTCTGATCTGTTTCCTGAACCACTCCCTCCTACACCAGGGTTGCTCTTGACGAGAGTTCCCTTTTACCTCAGGGAGTAAAGAATACTTGCAAAGGGTGGACAGACCCCTAGATCGCAGACCCCTAGCACAAAACACTGTAGTCTTGAGGGTTTTGGGCGCAGAACGTTTAGAGCATCTGAATCATCAGGGTACCCATTTCAAGCAAGCCACCGAACAGTAACCCCTGCAGCCAGCAGGATATGTCGTCAGCTCAAAAGCCCGAAACCCCTCAAAGTCCACACCCCTCAAACACTCACTCAACCCGAACAACCTACACTTAGTTGCTGAGTTCATAAGCCCCAAAAAGTGTACACTTTTAGTTTTAAAATGGGTAGTATTATCACCAAAAGTGTAAAGTGCATCCACTCAGCTACTAAGTACACGAAAAATATCCCAAATCTGCTGAACCCTAAACCCTCAACCCTGAAGCTCCAAACCAAACAAAAACCCACGGCCCCCCACTTCTTTGCCGGGGTTCCGTGAAGCTGACGACAGTAGGTCGGAGCCTTGCCGAAAGCATGCCTTGGCTCGGGGTTCCTTAAGAGGGTTGAGGGTTTAAGGTTGAGGGTTTAAGGTTGAGGGTTTAGGGTTGAGGGTTTAAGGTTGAGGGTTTAGGGTTGAGGGTTTAAGGTTGAGGGTTTAGGGTTGAGGGTTTAGGGTTAATTAAGGGTTTAGGGTTTAGGGTTTGGGGACTTTCACAGGGTTCCGGTGGTGCTTACTCTTCTAGTGTTTAAGGACTAAAGGAATTTGGCTCCTTAAGTTCCATGTACAAGCATATTTCATTGCAATGACCAGCCCCGGCAACCTAGACTAAACCCACATTAAATTATGTAAGCAGCCCCAAGCAGTCGAATTACTACATTTACGGATGCTGGTAACTCACAATCCAGTCAATAACAGTGTATACAACCCCTAAATTATGATGCTGCTTTAAATTCCTTAGCAAAAGCCCAAACCCTACCGCCCTCTCCTCCTGGATAGAAAACCATATGTAAGCCCGTTGTAAAACACCTCACACATGCAGGGTCCTTGACATCAAACAATTCTCTTGCGAAATCCTGGCCTAACTGCATGAAAACAAGGACTGTTAAAAACCCAAACCCTGTCAACCCTCTTGACGAAAACCCAGGTACTGGAGAGCAGCTCCAGGGCGATGCGCCAGGCACCACCCTGAAGAAGGAGAAGAGGTGGGGTTTCATCATGTGGCAGAGCTGCTGCGTCAGGAACATGGTTTAGTGAACCATGACAGTAACTGGTATGATAAACAACATGGGCAGCAAGCATCAGCGCCTTCGATGAATGACTTCGATGCTTATCGTCACCATTGGCATCATCGCCATCATTATGATCAACAACAACATCATTGCTCATGATCAGTATGCCACTATGCTCTACCTGTTCACACGCTGAAGACGCTTTCACGCAAAGCTCTCACAAAGGGCCTTTTCGCAAGCACTGATCGCGGCATTGAAGCTGACGACATCGGGCTCTAGTCGAAGCAGGAGCATCTCCGAGAGTAGCTGCAGGGAAGTTTGCCAGAGCTTGGCGTTCTCACCTCGTTTGACGATTTTCCGAAGAAAGGTTTGCAGTTCCATGTGGTTGGGGGATGTGGCGTTAAGGCTCTTTTCCGGGCTGATGGCTGAGGTTGTACTGCACCATACGGTGACATTGCGCCATAGTAAAATTATTCTACACCATCCTGTACTATGCTATACTAGATTCTTGTTGCAATGTCCTATACTCGGGGACCTGGCGTGCCTCTCAACCTTAAACCCTGCACCGTAAGTGGCAAACCCGAAACCATGAACCCCAAACTAAACCTCAAACCCCAAACACCAAACTAAACCCGAAACCGCAAACCCCAAACCCTGAACCCTACAGTAAACCGCAAACCCCAAACCGTTACACTGCAAACCCCAAAACCCCAAAGCCTAAACCCTAAGCCTCAGGTAGGTAGTTCCTCTTCCATAGTACTCCCATAAGGCCCCCTTTACCTTATAGGAGTGGTATGGAAGGCTTATGGGAAACTACCCACCTTATAACTACCCACCCGTAAATGGCTCAGACTAAACTCCGAACCCCAAAACTCAAAGGAAGAGGCGAGCTAAGGCCCCTATAATATAGTACCCTAGTGGGTGGTTGTCAAAATTAGGGTCCCTTTTTGGGGTCCTTATTATAATACGGCACCTAATTTCTGGGGCCACCAAAAAGTGGCCATAATTTTGGCAAGTACCCCTATAGATCCCTTAGAGTAACCCTTATTCCCTTTAAAGGAACCCTTTTCAAAGGAGGCGAGCTACAAGCACTCATGGCAGCATTGAAGCTGATCTCCTGCGGCACCAGCTCCTCTTGCACCATCCTGGGTTGCTAGGGGTTCATGGTACCGCTTATAAGGAATCTATCAGGGTTCCTTTAAGGGTTCCTGTAAGGGATCTCTAAGGGTGCCTTTCAGGGTTCCTTTAAGGGATCATGAGGGCTCTATTGACGATTTAGGGTTTAGGGTTTGGGGTGTAGGAGTTGGGCTTTCTCGGGTTCTTGGCGGTCTCCGAAAGGTCTTTAGGAGTTTTTGTAGGGCTTCTAAAAACTGTTTAGAGGTTTTGGTATGTCTTCTAAGGGGTTTGGAGGGTTTTTGGTAGGTCTTCTAAGGATTGTAAAAGGGTGCTTTGAAAAGGATTGAAACGGGTGTTGTAAAGGCTTTGTGAGGTTTCTGTATCAGTTTAAGGAACAGGTGTCGGGTGAGTTCGGCTTGTTAGGGTTTCTTACGGTGGGAGCCCAAATGTTGGAAACCCAATAGCCTCAATCCTTAAGGGTAATGTATAGGGAATCCCAGCACTCTTTGGCCTTAGCCCGGTTTCCAACTTTATGGGGATTACTGTAACAAGAACCAAGAAGCTGGAGGAGCAGTTGAAGGGCCATCTGCCATTGTGCAGCCTTCTCCTGGGCTCTTGTGAAGAGGCTTATTTAACTTGCCATAATAAGGAAACCGTATCATTTACTATAGATCCCTGATATTGTAATTTACATTAAACCATGCTATTTACTATAGATCCCTAATACTGTAATTTACATTACATTCCTTAACAAGAACCCAGTCTCACAGGCGGAAATGGCCGCGTTGAAGGAGATCACCGAAGCATTGAGCCTGCCAGGGGCTCCTTCAAAGGGGGCTTCGGGTAATCTAGGGGCCTTTAGTAATTAGCATAGGGTTCTTTTAAAGGGTTCTATATAAGGGTTTCTATGAAAGCTGCGAGAAAGGCTCTTGAACGTATTCCTATATTCTATGCTATGGGATCTATCAGCCTTAGTTCAAGGTGCACCTGGACAGTAAAGAGCCTACTGCTTTAAGGACTTATATCCCTAGAAAGGTAGGCTCTTCAGGGTCAAGGCTCCTAAAACCGTTTTCAGGACTTGTAATCCGTCAACCCTAAGCCCCTAAATCATGTTAAACCCTAAACCCTTAAAACCTATCTAAAGCCCATAAACCCTATAAGCCCTATAAACTCCAAACCACTAAAACCTATAGCCCCATAACCCTACAAGCCCTATAAACCCCAAACCCCTTTTTCCTATAACCCCTAAACCCCATAAACCCTGCAAGCCCTATAAAACCCAAACCCATAAAACCTATAACCCCTAAACCCCATAAACCCTGCAAGCCCTATAAAACCCAAACCCATAAAACCTATAACCCCTAAACCCCATAAACCCTGCAAGCCCAATGAACCCTAAACCCCTAAAACCTATCTGAACCCCATGAACCCTACAAGCCCTCTAAACCCTAAGGAAGCAGAGGCCTGCTCAATGGCATCTCGGAGAGTAGATGAAGGGCGGCCTCCCACTGGCTGCCCTTCTCGCAGGCGCTGAGGGACGAGCTGCAGCTGACTACCTGGGCTTACGGTTTGGGGTTCAGGGTATAGGGTTTAGGGGTTCAGTTTCAGGGTCTAGGATTTAGGGGGCTTAGTCGAGGATTTAGGGATGCAGGTTTAGGGTCTAGGGTACATGTAGAGAATAGGGTATAGAACCTCCGACATAACTACGGCCACCAAGAACATCGAAACGTGCAGGATAGACGCCCGGCACTAATACATCCAAGAGGAACTTGACGTACAGATCCCAACCCGACCCTAATCCCAAGACGCGCTGCAGTGGGCTGCAAAGACATCAGGGGCATGGCAGCAAGCAAGTGCAGCGCAGTCTGCCACTGCCCGGTCCTGAGATTTAGGCCCGTTTTAGGGTTCAGTTAGAGTCCTTACTAGTTAGATAGGGCCCTTTAGCGAGTCTACACTGAAGCCTCCATATTGAGGGTTCGAAGGGGCTTTCAGAGTAGTAGGGGATAGACCGAAGATTACATATAAGCACATACAAAATTATGTGCGTGTGTATGTATGTATGTGTACACATATATATATAGATATATATATATATAGATATACAGATACACATATATAACGATCATCAGCAGCAACAGACATAATAGTGTCGCAGCGGGAAGTTTCATGGTTTAACGATATAGGGAGTGGGCATAGACAGGGCATACGGGGTCTCGCATTGAGGGTGTAAGCCTGAATCCTAAACAAAGCACGCACGAAAAAAAATAGTGTTGCGATTACATCATAGAGTCCGTGCACAAGCGCTAATGCTGGCATTGATGCAGATCGCATCGGGCCGTACTCTTGCCGCTTGCATGTCGGCAAGGATCGCCACCGCTCTTTGCCACTGGCCCGCCTCACTTAACTTCTCGAGGCCCTTCAAAAGGGACCCCTCATTGGCTGAAGGAACCCTGAAAACGTGAATAGAACCTTGAACCCTACACCCCTTTCAAACCCCAACAAAAATTAATGAACCTCACAACCCTGAACCCTAAAAACCCCGTGGGACCCTGCAAAACCCTACAAGATCCTACACGACCCTTTAACGAAAGCCAAGAGCTAAGCTAGCGCAACTCTACACGCTAAACCCCCCAAACCGCGAAACCTTGAATCCCTAAAGCCCGAAATCCCTAAACCCCTATATAAACCCTAAATCCCCAAAACCCTAAAGACCCAACCCCTAAAGCCCTGAACCCCTAAACCGTCCACCCCTGCCTTGTCACAGGCACTGATGCCCGCACTGAAAGTGATCACGGAGGGTTGGAGACGAAACAACGGCCTCTCTGTAAGGGTTTAGGGTTCTAGGGTTTTAGGGCATATAGGGTGTAGGGTTTTAGGGCTTTAGGGCTTTAGGGCTTTGGGGCTTCAGGGTTTTAGGGTTTCAGGGTTTCAGGGAACAGGGTTTAGGAATGACAAAGGTTCCATGTTATATTAAGAGGGCTCTATTTATAAAGCTTGTTTAAGGGTTAGTCTAAACTGCACAGCTCCCATAAGGCTCCTCTTAGGGTTCTGCACTGAAGAGTTTCCTGGACTTTGATAAATGGATCAGGGTTAAATCAAGGGGTGACGCTTTCTAATTGGGTTTGACTTGGTGATAAGGCCCCCAGAACTTTTCATAGCCACACTAACTTCTCAGACTCCGAAAATTTACCCTACTTGTCGGGTATCACGGAGAACTAAAGGATAACTTTTTTTGGCTACATAGGGGTTATATAGGGGCTATACTACCCAAAAAAGGTTAAAGGTTACCTGCTCTACTTCTAGGTTACGGGATAGGCATTGGAGAGCTAAGTAGCATGGCTGAAAGCAGCTGCAAGGCGATTTGCCATTGCCCAGCCCTCTCGGAGGCACTGGCGCTGGCCTCAGCGGTCGAGGGCTTAGCGGTTCAGGGTTTAGGGTTTAGAGGCCATCATTGTGCATTGCTCTTGTTGTGGTGACGACCATCGAAAGGACAGCAACTGCTGTGACTGTGATTGTTCCATTGTGATGGTAATCGCGGTCGTACCGTGAATACAGATGAGATGCTTTTATTCTGCACCAATATGCCTGCTGTTGATAGTAGTCAATACTATCATCGCACTATCAATGCTGTCATTTTCCGTCATCCGGGTGCAGGAGTTGGGTGTAAGGCTGGGCGACGTCCTGGAAGATGCCTGCTTGATGTGGTCTTGAAACCTTCAAGCTTCTTACCTCACTAACACTCGAAGCATGCAGGTTCCGGAAACACGAGTTTGCCTGCAATCAGCCCAGCGGCATTGAAGGTGGAAACTCTCGGCATCGCTCGAGCTGCAAACATCTCCGACAACAGGGACAGTCCCAGATCCCAATGTTCAAGACTGCCGCAGGAGATGATGGAAGCATTGAAACTAATGGCATCTTGCGGAACTGTGTCCGAGCGCATCAGGGAAAGAAGTTCTAGGGCCGTTGTCCACCGGAAGCCCTTTTCACATGCGCTGATGGTTGCATTGGCTGTGACGGTGTTCAGCGGAACCCTGGCCTTCGGAAGCCCATGCAACAGTTGGCATGCAGTCCTCCACATACCAACTTTCTCACTGACGCTGATGCTGGCACTGCAGCTGACGATGTCTGGCTGCAATGCGAATGTAGGAATATCTGCGAGCAGCTGCAGCCCCGGGATCCACTGTTTGCCATGCCCACATGCATTGATCCCAGCATTGAAGCTGATTGTATCCGGAAGAATCGCCAGAGCCGCCATCTCCCGAAATAACTGCAGCGCTGCTGGCCACTCCCCATGCCGCCCACATGCACTGATCCCTGAGCTCAAGCTGACCACATCTACCTGCGCACGGCCGACTGCTTCGGACCCCAACAAGAATCCCCAAACCGACAAGTACTGTCAGTAGGGAATGGGGGAGTGGGTTATGGGGACGACTACTACAGGGATCCATTCCCCGATTCCCTACGAAGAACCAGACAGAGTAGAGAAATGACCTCTGATCCTGTAGCTTGGAAGATCGGTCGAAGATGCCTGGACTATACAGTAAACCCCATGGAGTTGGAAACCGGATTAAGGCCAAATAGTGCTGGGATTCCCTGTGCCTTATTCTTAAGGATTGAGGCTATTGGGTTTCAAACTTTTGGGCTTCTGCTATATAATAAATAAGGCACTCCTCTCACCAAAGCATGCTAACAAAATGATGAAGAAGCAGGGGTGACGATCGGGGTTTTTCTTGAAGGCCGACGGACTTGGCAAGAAATATAGCGGACTTAAGAAGACTACGGCATTGGGAGAGCAACAATATGATAAGGGATCCTACCGAACGGTATTACTGATTCTTCAGGCTAGTATAGTATACCAACAGTCTGATCAGGGATCCTACAGAACAATGGTGAACAATATTGCTGATGCTTCAGGCTACTATAGTAGGTTGTTACAAGTCCCCTAAGGGTCCAAGTACTCAATTGTGCAGGACGTTTGGGCCTTTTTAGGTACCGACAACCATAAACAAGGACTATTTGGACCCTTAGGGTAAAAGAGGTAGGTGTATAAAGCCCCAAATAACCTGGCCTATTTTCAAGGACCTAGACGAAAGCATCATAGCAAGGAGTTCCTCCAGCATAGAGACCCTTTCTTGGCCAGATCTTCTCCGCACCGGCTTGTCAGAGTTCCCTGGAAGCTCATAGACTTTTCTATCCGTTCACAACGGGAAGTACGGTTGATGATATAAATCTTGCATTACCTTCATGACTCTAGATTATGGAAAGTCTGGTAATATTCCCCACTATGGGCAATGCAGGAGTTTATATCATCAACCGTAGAAAACAGCGACTGAGAAGGAGAACCAATCAGACAGCAGCCCGTGCTCCACCCAACAAAATTCTGAAAAGCCATAAAGCCCGCAGCCCTTGCAAAGCCCAAGGCAATTTCTGATTAACCCTGACCCTAAGGGTCCAAGTACAACAGTTATCGCATACTCTCCAAAGTATTAGCCGACCTAACCACTATCCCAAACCGAGTACCTAATTGTTGGATAGCTAAGGCAAGCCCTCAGTTGCCCAGGCTCAAGCCACCTTCGGTGTGGAGGCGGGCAAACTCGTGAGGCAGTCCAAGGCTATCTGCCATGGGCCTCACGATAAATTTGGACATAGGGTTTAAGGTTTTAGGTTTTAGGGCCTAAAGAACAAGACGCAGAAACGCGCAATATCGGGGCCTTATCTATTGGAATGGGGTTTTGGGCGTATGACTATAATAGAACACCCTGACGCAAACTACAGTAATTATTCAGGGCACTATAGAACATACGGAAATGCTTGTGATTTGGTGTTGTTGTTGATGTTGTTACTGCTCCCGCCTTCGATGCTGTTGTTTTTGTGGTTGTTGATGCTGCTGATATTGTTGTTGTCGCTGCTGTTGTTGTGGCTCTTGTTGTCGTTATCGTTGCTGTTGCCGCTGCCGCTCCCGTAGCCACTGTCACTGCCGCTGTCACTGTGTTTGCGCTTGCATTTGCGGTGGCTGTGGCTGTAACCGTTGCTGGCGTTGTTTGTTGTCGTGCTCGCGGTTGCTGTGGATGTCGCTGCCGTTGTTGTTTGTTTTTTTGTTGTTGTTGTTGTTGTTGTTGTTGTTGTTGTTGTTGTTGTTGTTGTTGTTGTTGTTGTTGTTGTTGTTGTTGTTTTCGGTGTTTTGGTTGTTGCTGTTGCTGCTGCTGCTGCGGTTGCTGTTGCTGTTGCTGTTGCTGGTGCTGGTGCTGGTGCTGGTGCTGGTGCTGGCGCTGGTGCTGTTGCTAGTGTTGGTGGCGGTGTTGTCATCGTTGTTGTTGCAATTGTTGTTGTTATTGTTGTTGTTGCTGTTGTTGCTGTTGCTGGAGCCGGTGCCAGTGCCGGTGCCGGTGCTGTTGCTGGTGCTGATGCTGGTGCCGGTGCTAGTGTTGGTGCTGGTGCCGGGGCTGTTGTCGTGGTTGTTGTTGTTGTTGCTGTTGTTCGTGTTGTTGTTGTTGTTGGTACAGACAAAAACAGCAGCCGTACTTGTTGTTAATTAGAAGCAATTGGGAATGCTTCCGGCGACCGCACAGGGTGCCTGTAGAGTTTTGGGAAGTTCAAGCCATGCCTGCCCCATGATAGAAATGCGGTGTAGGCTGGGTGGTTGTTGTAAAAGGGGGGGGGGGTCAAAACAACAGACGGGGCTCCAGTTTTTGCCTCTACTACAGGGGGTAAAGACAAAGGCACCCGCGAAAACAGGACTTTGTCTCTACCCCCTGTAGTAGAGGCAAAAACTGGAGCCCCGTCTGTTGTTTTGACCACCCCCCCTTTACAACAACCGCCCACATTACACCACATTTCCACCACAGGTATAAGAATCTGCGATATCCAGAAGGGGTTCTGATGGGTGTTGGAAGGGCTTGTCTGGAATTTTGAGGGGCTTGCATTGGATACCCGTACACTCAAAACTATAGTTACCAGTTACTATACAGTAGTTTGTACAGGCCTCGCAAATGCATATTCTGCACGGCGGGGAACTGAAACACACACCAAATCCGTTGAAAATACACACCAAAATCATTGAAATACACACCAAATGCACTGAAATACACACCAAATCCACTGAAATACACACCAAATACACACCAAATCCACCGAAATACACGTTAAATCCGCTGAAATACACACCAAATCCATTGAAATACACACCAAATCCATTGAAATACACACGAAATTCACTGAAATACACACGAAATCCATTGAAATACACACAATCCATTGAAATACACACCAGATCCACTGAACTGAACTCCGCACCAAATCCATTGAAATACACGCGCAATCCACTGAAATACACACGAAATCCACTGAAATACACACGAAATCCAATGAAATACACACGAACTCCATCGAAATACACACCAAATCCACTGAAATACAGACGAAATCCACTGAAAATACACACCAAACAGTATACATCACAGGCATCCACAGGCACTGTGTTGTTGTTGGGGGGGGGGGGGGGGTAAAACAACATGACGGGGCTCCAGTTTTTGTCTTTACCTAATGTACAGACAAAAAGCAGATATATGGGTTGACGGGGCTGCAGTTTTTGTTTGTACCTTCTTGTTGTTGTTGTTGATGTTGTTGTTGTTGGTGGTGGTGGTGGTGATGGTGGTGGCTTTGTCGTTTCTGTTGCTGTTGCTGCTTTTGCAGTTGTTGTTGATGGTGTTGCTGCTGTTGTTGCTGGTGTGGCTGTTGCTGTTGCCGTTGGTGTTGTTGCTGCCGCTGCTGCGGTTGTTGTTGCTATTAAAAAATGCAGGTGTTATTGTGTAGTCACTTGTAGTTGTTACTGTCCTGTTATTGCTACTCTTCTCGGTATTGTTGTTAATATTGTTGATAGTCTAATTCTTAGAACAATTAGTATTACTTTGCGATATTTACTACTGTTATTGTTGCTGTTCCGGTTGATCTTCCTGTTACGGTTGACGTGCGTGGTCTTATTGTGTTTCTTCTTGTTGCCATAGCTGTTGCTGTTGTTGGTTCCGCTGCTGTGCATGATGTTGATGATGTTGGCGTAGCTGCTGGTGCTGCTGCCGCTGCTGCTGCTGGTGCGGTGCTGGGCAAAGGTCTGACAGGAGCCTTTGGGCTGCGTTCGGCAGCCCTTCTGCAAGCACTTTTCCGAGTTGCGACACCAGCACACTCCTCCGCCGGAAACCTGTTACAAATCTCAAGGCTCTAGGACACTAGGTCCTTCTGGACCGGAAGGTTCTGCTGACAAAACTGGAGCAGACCTTTGCCTGCAGCAACCTTCCTGCACCTTACAAATCTTGAATTCAACGGCGCGAAGATTTGCAGGCGCAATCATCGGGCTGATCATTTGCATGTTGTTTCTGAACACCTGCTTCAGAAGGTTGCGGCAAATCACGGAGAAACAACTACTTGCAGAAGTTTGGGCAAATACTTACCAGTGGATCTGAGGCGTTTCTGGATCGGAATCGCAGCAACCCTCCAGCAGTTTACAAAAATTGACCAGAGGCCACAAAGATGAAAAGACCTTCGCGGCCTGGGCAGAGCATGTCGTGGTGCACACGTGGAGAACTGGCGTTTGCTCACCGTCTGTCGCTACATGGATCTGAACACGAAGTGAATGATGTTCCTATCTTCCCCATACTCGATTTGATGGCTTAGGAATCCCGCTTTGGGTCTAGAACTCAGATCCCAAAAAGACAGAAGCAAGTCAATGCGGCACTCAAGGCAGCGGACAGGAAGAGGGATGGAGCGGTGGAAGTCTCGCTTGAAGCGGCTGTAGTCGTGGTCGTGGGCACTGCCTGACAGGCAGTCGCGCACGCAGACGGCAGGGTAGCCAAAGGACACCCTAGGAGGAAGGGTCACAACTGGCGTGCTGAACTGCCTACAACCCCCGTGGAAAACAGCAGCAACCAAGTGGGGCAGTCCTTGCACATATCTGGATAAGCCGTTGAGCCGCTAAGCAGGGTGGCCGTGTTGCCCGTGTCAGCACCTCACTCTCACCCCATGCCAAGCACAGAAAGACCTGCAGAAGTATATTCAGCTACAAGCGGACAACAAATACTCGAGAGATGAGTCACATGAGGAGGCCATGCAGCTGCCAGCTGGCGCATCTTTCCACGTGCCCACCATGGCGCAGGTGATGCCGAGGTGTGGATACCTGAAGCTGTCATCTTGCGACAAGCAGGCTTGGAAATTCAAATGCAGGGTGCACTGCATAGCAGACAAGCTGCACGGGCAGTTGTTACAGAGACGTGGACGCTCCGCAAGAAACGAAAGCCACAAAGACCACGAAACGAAAAGAACAAGATTCTTGGCAGACTTTTAGGGTTTAAGGTTTAGGGGGTTTAGGGCTTGGGAGTCCTTTTTCGCATTCTCCAAGGCGCAAAGACTCCACCAGCGTTTTCACGGAGCAGGCCGTGCTCTCCGGTACGGTTGTTAAGTTTAGGTCAAAGAGTGCATCCACCGCCTGCACCGTCGTGGCGTTGAAGGCGGACATGTATCCGGAGGCACTCCTCCAGTAGGCCCAGCCCTCGGCGAGATACTTTGGCTCCATGGTGCCGCCATTGTAGGCCTTCCATGCGTACTTGATGGCGCTTCGGATGGCAGCAATGGAGAAGATCTTGTACATGGCCAACTCTGCTGCTTTCACACTGGTAGCATTGTAAGCACCTCCGCGCAGGTTGATGAGGCCGTAGTTCAGAATCGGCACGGCCTCCGTGTGTGTCGAGGTGCCATCGGGGAAGTCGATGTCGCGCTTCCAGTTGAACTCGTAGGGCGAGTAGAGGTTGCCGGGGGCAGAACCTGTGTAGCCATCGCCAATGACTGGATCGATATTGCCGATGTAGAAGGCAGCGCCTTCGTCCCAAGCATAGGCTGCTTGAGTGTCTGCCGTCTCTCCATTCTCACCTTTCCAAACAGCTGCACCAAACTCGTAGGTGGCGTAGGCGGTGACAACTCCAATGAGTCCCTTGTTGATGACATACTGCCGGAACGAGTCCGTCTTCCCCTCGCACACACCTGTCCCGTCCAAGCACGCGATGATGTAGTCGTGCCATACGGCATTCGTTGAGCCATACAAGCTGACGGCACCGCTGTAGAAAACCTCACGTCTCGGGGTGCAGATCTTTCAAGAAAGGATCATGCACCCTATGCCCTATAAAACACAAACACAACAAAGAACAACATTTAGTCAACATTTAACCTTTGGGGGGAGATCATTGTGGTCATTATGCCCCCTTTGCGATGCTGCAAGGGGTCGTTGGTGTACTTGCCATCCACGGTCATGTCCTTCTGCGCCAGGTCTTGCAGAGTTCGCATGTTCCCCAGCCCTTTGGAAGAGAAGTTTCCTGCGGTGTAAACCTGCTTGGCCATCGCGTAGTTCAAGGGGGTCTCAGCCAAGTACTCTTTAATCAGCTTCACATCCCGATTGATGTCGGCGTGTTCCGTGACGTCGTTGACAGGACAATAGAGGCCGTCAGAAAGCTTTGGACAGGAGTCCACGGGGGTGCAAGCCCCTGCCTCAGCACCTGCGACCATGAAGGCCAGAAGCATGAAGCGCATGGCTGCCATATCGCAAGAGGCCTTCTTGTATATTTGTGTCTGGATTCGACGTGTTGCCTTGAGCCAAGCCTTTCATTAAGGAAGTACAGCGCCTCGAGCTTTCGCATCACAAGAGTGCACGCTTCCAAAATCAAGCATAGAAGCTCCCCGGGAGTCAAACCGACCTTAAGCTCTTGTTCGGAAAACCGGTTATGAAACTGAACCTGCAGCACCTCCAGATCCTCCAGCACCGTACCACTCCTTTGATTAAATTTTGGGCTCATAGGGTTTAGGGGTTTATAGGGTTGAAGACCTTCTGCAGCACAACAGATGGGTGCGTTCAAGGCACCTCTGTTGAAAGAAGTTGGTCCATCACAATCAGGCCCCAAAACAGCCTAAGACCCTTACCCCCAAAACCATCAATGCCAAAGACCCTACAACTCTCAAGCTGGCAGTGGTGGTGGTGGTTTGGTGGTGGTAGTTTGGGTGGTTTTGTTGGTGGCTTTGGTGGTGGTGTTGGTGGTTTTGGTGGCTTGCTTGGTGGCTTTGGTGGCGGTTTTGGTGGTGTTGGTGGTGGTTTTGGTGCTGGTGCTGGGCAAAGATCTGGCAGGAGCCTTTGGGCTGCATGCTGCAGCCCTGCTGCTGGAACTTTTTTCGAGTTGCGTCGCACACTACTCCGCCCTCCGCCGAAAACATTATACAAATCTCTAGGCTCTAGGACACTAGGCCTTTCTGGGCCGGAAGGGTCGCCTCACAAAGCTGGAGCAGACCTTTCGCTCAACTGCCTGCAGCAACCGTCCGGCACCTTACAAATCTTGAATTCAACGGCGCGAAGATTTGCAGGCGCAATCATCGGGCTGATCATTTGCATGTTGTTTCTGAACACCTGCTTCAGAAGGTTGCGGCAAGTCACGGAGAAACAACTACTTGCAGAAGTTTGGGCAAATACTTACCAGTGGATCTGAGGCGTTTCTGGATCGGAATCGCAGCAACCCTCCAGCAGTTTACAAAAATTGACCAGAGGCCACAAAGATGAAAAGACCTTCGCGGCCTGGGCAGAGCATGTCGTGGTGCACACGTGGAGAACTGGCGTTTGCTCACCGTCTGTCGCTACATGGATCTGAACACGAAGTGAATGATGTTCCTATCTTCCCCATGCTCGATTTGATGGCTTAGGAATCCCGCTTTGGGTCTGAGAACTCAGATCCCAAAAAGACAGAAGCAAGTCAATGCGGCGCTCAATGCAGCGGACAGGAAGAGGGATGGAGCCGTGGAAGTCTCGCTTGAAGCGGCTGTAGTCGTGGTCGTGGGCACTGCCTGACAGGCAGTCGCGCACGCAGACGGCAGGGTAGCCCGAGGACACCCTAGGAGGAAGGGTCACAACTGGCGTGCTGAACTGCCTACAACCCCCGGTGGAAAACAGCAGCGACCAAGTGGGGCAGTCCTTGCACATATCTGGATAAGCCGTTGAGCCGCTCAGCAGTGTGGCCGTGTTGCCCGTGTCAGCACCTCACTCTCACCCCATGCCAAGCACAGAAAGACCTGCAGAAGTATATTCAGCTACAGGCGGACACAAAATATTCGAGAGATGAGTCACATGAGGAGGCCATGCAGCTGCCAGCTGGCGCATCTTTCCACGTGCCCACCATGGCGCAGGTGATGCCGAGGTGTGGATACCTGCGTTAAACTGTATTATGTTGCGACAAGCAAACTCAGAAGTTTAAACATCGAGGGGGTGCACCGCATGCCGGACAAGCTGCATGGGCGGTTGTTACAGAGACGCGGACGCGCCGCAAGAACCGATAGTCACAACGACCACGAAACGAAAAGAACAAGATTCTTGGCAGAGTTTTAGGGTTTAGGGGATTAAGGGCTTGGGAGTCCTATTTCGTTTTCTCCAAGGCGCAAAGACTCCACCAGCGTTTTCACGGAGCAGGCCGTGCTCTCCGGCACGCTTGTTAAGTTTAGGTCAAAGAGTGCATCCACCGCCTGCACCGTCGTGGCGTTGAAGGTGGACATGTATCCGGAGGCACTCCTCCAGTAGGCCCAGCCCTCGGCGAGATACTTTGGCTCCATGGTGCCGCCATTGTAGGCCTTCCATGCGTACTTGATGGCGCTTCGGATGGCAGCAATGGAGAAGATCTTGTACATGGCCAACTCTGCTGCTTTCACACTGGTAGCATTGTAAGCACCTCCACGCAGGTTGATGAGGCCGTAGTTCAGAATCGGCACGGCCTCCGTGTGCGTCGAGGTGCCGTCGGGGAAGTCGATGTCGCGCTTCCAGTTGAACTCGTAGGGCGAGTAGAGGTTGCCGGGGGCAGAACCTGTGTAGCCATCGCCAATGACTGGATCGATGTTGCCGATGTAGAAGGCGGCGCCTTCGTCCCAAGCATAGGCTGCTTGAGTGTCTGCCGTCTCTCCATTCTCACCTTTCCAAACAGCTGCACCAAACTCGTAGGTGGCGTAGGCGGTGACAACTCCAATGAGTCCCTTGTTGATGACATACTGCCGGAACGAGTCCGTCTTCCCCTCGCACACACCTGTCCCGTCCAAGCACGCGATGATGTAGTCGTGCCATACGGCATTCGTTGAGCCATACAAGCTGACGGCACCGCTGTAGAAAACCTCACGTCTCGGGGTGCAGATCTTTCAAGAAAGGATCATGCACCCTATGCCCTATAAAACACAAACACAACAAAGAACAACATTTAGTCAACATTTAACCTTTGGGGGGAGATCATTGTGGTCATTATGCCCCCTTTGCGATGCTGCAAGGGGACATTGGTGTACTTGCCATCCACGGTCATGTCCTTCTGCGCCAGGTCTTGCAGAGTTCGCATGTTCCCCAGCCCTTTGGAAGAGAAGTTTCCTGCGGTGTAAACCTGCTTGGCCATCGCGTAGTTCAAGGGGGTCTCAGCCAAGTACTCTTTAATCAGCTTCACATCCCGATTGATGTCGGCGTGTTCCGTGACGTCGTTGACAGGACAATAGAGGCCGTCAGAAAGCTTTGGACAGGAGTCCACGGGGGTGCAAGCCCCTGCCTCAGCACCTGCGACCATGAAGGCCAGAAGCATGAAGCGCATGGCTGCCATATCGCAAGAGGCCTTCTTGTATATTTGTGTCTGGATTCGACGTGTTGCCTTGAGCCAAGCCTTTCATTAAGGAAGTACAGCGCCTCGAGCTTTCGCATCACAAGAGTGCACGCTTCCAAAATCAAGCATAGAAGCTCCCCGGGAGTCAAACCGACCTTAAGCTCTTGTTCGGAAAACCGGTTATGAAACTGAACCTGCAGCACCTCCAGATCCTCCAGCACCGTACCACTCCTTTGATTAAATTTTGGGCTCATAGGGTTTAGGGGTATGAACCCTCAGTTCATAGGTAGGCCAGGTTTGGCTTGCAAACGGATTCACCCGGGAAACCAGTTCTAAGGGTACTGCTTGTGGTAGGGACCAAGTGTATGTTCCAATCATAGGGCTCTCAGGATCACATAATGACTGAACCGAGTGAATTATGAAAACACTTTGTTTGTGCTGCTGGAAAACGGCAAATACATGCCGACAGGCCGACGAATATGTTCGGTTTCACCGGTTTCACCTCTGTATTGAGTGGATTCGTCACTTTGCGCATGGTCATCCATGTATTGCATTGTTTCGCTTTTTCACTGTTTCACTGTTTCACTGTCTTTCCACTTTCCACTGTTTCACTGTTTCACTGTTTCACTGTCTCACACTGTGACATTTTTACTATTCAGAATGTTTCACCTGGGAAGGCACGAGTCTCATGTTCACTGACATGTCACTGCATGTCACATGCCGCACGTCACTTCACGTAAAGCAAACATGTTGGCGAGAAGCATGAGATGCACACCTGCAATCATGATCGAATCAATCAGGCTGCATGAAGAGATCTGCATGGGATCATGAGACGTGCAGTGCAAGCTCCATTGGTGAAACGATTTCCATGCAATGCGACAATGCGACCACCACGCACGCAAAGCAATGTCATGTCACGTGCCAGCATGCTTCGCGATTCATGACAGCATGGCATGTCAACCAATGACTCGACACGCTTCGCACTCGAATGCAATGCAAAGCGATTGACAATGCCATAGACTGCCATAGTGCAACAATGCAACAACAAAGCTCAAACTCGCCTGTTCTTTTCACTCTCACGTGCTCCGTTGGTGCTCGCTGCAGCCCAATGTCGCCGCCGAGACGTGAAGCCCCCAAAGCTCTTGAGGCAGCGACAAAGGCAAGCAAGACGTCAACAACATCTCAGCATCCCAGCAGTCGTTATGAGTGAGGTATAAGGCGTTATGATGTGAGCATGCAGCATTGAGCATTGTCGAGAGTTGCCGAGTTGCTGGGGCAACTGCAGCTGATGTTGCTGTTGTGGTTGTTGTAACTGTTCTGGTTATTGTTCTGGTCGTTGTTGCTGGTACAGCTGCTGTTGATGTTGTCGATGTGGTTTGAGGTTTGTTGCGGTTGTTGCAGGTTCTTCTTCTTATTCTTATTATTATGTTTCTTCTTTTTATTCTGCTGCTGTTGTCGCTCTTCTTGGCGGCGGCTGTCACAGTGGTGGTGTCAATCCGAGTCGACTGCCAAATGTTGTTGTTGCTGCTGCTGCCGCCGATGCTGCTGATGTTGTTGATGGCCGGCATTGTGGTTGTCTATGGTTAGGTGAGGTGGTTGTTGTTGTTGGCTGACTGCGTGGATGTGGCTGTATTGCTTATTTGTAAGGGTGTGTGGTGCATGATTGATGTTGATGTATATTCATTATGTTATTGTATTCATATATTAATGTTGAAGCTGCTCGTTTCATGTTGATTGGTGTCGTTGTTGTTGTTGTTGCTGTTGTTGTTGTTGCTGCTGCTGTTGTTATGGTGTTGCTGTGTTTGTTTGTTGTTGATTGTTGCTGCTGCTGTTGCTGGATGTTACTGTTGCTGTTTGGCTGTTGATGTTGCTGTTGCTGCGGTCGATAGGGACTTTGTTTCCATGTCGTTGTTGCTGATGTGGTCACCTATTGGTGTCCTGACGTGATGACGTGGTTCTTTTGCGTTGTCAATGTTGCTGTTGTTGTCGTTGTTGTTGCTGTTGATTGCCGCTGTGCTGTTGATGCTGTCGGTTGTTTTCTTAACGTGGCTGTGATTGCTGATGTAGTTAGTTGACTCTGACTCAGTTGACCTTGTTCGATACGATACGTTTGTTGATTTTTTGGTGATGACATGTTCCTCCTGCGCCGATGTGATGCTGATGGCTGATTCTTGTTGCTGGTGTCGTTGTTGTAGTTGCTACCGTTGTTGTCGTTGTCGTTGTTGTTGTCTTGGTGGTGGTGGCGGCTGTGGCGGCGGTGGTTGCGGTTGCCGATGTTGTTCATGCTTTGATGTTGTTGTTGTTGCTGCTGCTCTCGTTGTTGTTGCTGTACATGACGTTGGTCTTGGTGTTGGTGGCGGTGGTGGTGGTGGCGGTGGTAGTGGTGGTGACTGTGTTGTCGTTGTTGTTGTTGTTGTTGTGGTTGTTGTCGTTGTTGTTGTTGTTGCGCTGAGCGGTTGTTGTTGTTGTTGCTGCTGCTGTTGTTGTCGTTGCTGTTTCGTTCTTGCATTGCATTGTTTAATGAAATGAGTTTCGAACAACGTCGAATAACTGCATCAATTGTTGTTTGCAAGTTACTCATTGGCCCGTTGGCCAGTGCCTGGAGATGTTGTCGAGCTGCAACTGCGCGATTGTGCACCTACACAGACACGGGACCTATCGACTCTACTACTCTACTGGCTCAGGTTTTCGGAGCCAAGCAAATCGCATCACGAATCTTCGATTCGTTGCTGTCACGTAGAGCACGTGACACATAACTAACACTAACACGAGTGACTTGCAAGGAGCATGTCATGAAGCCAGAAGAATCATGCACATGTACATGCATGGACTGCTATGCATGTCCGCACGACCAAAACAGCACTCAGCACTCAGCACATGCACGTTCTTTACTGAAGTTTACTGTGTTAGAAAGACCCGTGAGCGATTGGCTGGATGACGTGCCCCATGCGTCACTTCAACAAAAATGCAACGTCCTTGCATTCTTTGGTTGGTTTGCTGAAGATGTCGCCGAGGATGCTTGCCGCCGATTCTTCTTTAGATTTGCCCTGCTTCTGATTCGCCACCGCTTGAGCAACAGCTGCACCGCCTAACGACGGCCCCGAGGAGGGGGCTCGGCTTTTGCTTTTTGCAAGTGCAATGGCTGCTTTCTCTTCGTCGAATAGCGATCTTGTCAATGTCAACCGAGTACCAGCGTAGTTCTCTTCCTTCTGATTTTTGAGAGCCTCCTACATGCAGAGGCGAATGGGCGAATGCCATGCCGTGAATGTAGACTGTAGACTATGGAGTATGCACTGCAAGCACACAGGCACACAGTTAAACAAGCAATCTAACCAAGCAACAAAGAGCACAACACTACCATGGACAAACTACCACTCATGCCGATGCCTGAATACGCTCCAAGTTCGACCGGTCCGCTCGGAGAGATGGATACTGCATGTTGACGTCAACCTCCGATCCACTCCTGCATATCTTTAATTGCTGAGTTCATGGCTCATGTGGTTCAGCTCATGGCTTCCTATTCCATTATACTCTTGCATCCACACATTGAAGCGAGTGAAACAATTGCAAGTGAAGTTACCGACCAACCAACATTGACCAACATGCAGCAAATGCACGCGGCGTGGAATTTCACCATCTCTGACGTGACAGATGCCACCAGCAAAGGTGGCGTCTTTGAATCATCAGGAAGACCTTTAATCATCCATCCCGCGCACGGAGCAGCAGAGCTTGGCTTGTCGAAGCTTGCGGAGCTCAGGTAAAACGGTATCTCTTGCCCTGATAGATTAGCGGACGCCACCTCGCAAGAAGCCCTACACACACTCAATGTCAAGCAGCAAGGAGCTATCAATGAAGCAGCCATGCAGTCATGCAGCACACATGCAGCATGTCCTGGATAAGCCGTGAAGTGAAACAGTGAAACGTCATGCGAAGCACACATGTCATGACGACTCAGTAACCAAAAGAGAGTCTTAAGTCTCTCAAACTTTGCGTGTGCGAGACGCCAAGAGGTGCGAGTGCTTTGGACCTGCGTCCAAAACCACTTGACCGAACATTGCAATGCTGAAGTTCTCATCCATCTGGCTGATGTCAACCGTCACTGCATTCTTGGCTCCCTGTGCATAGTTGATGTAGAGACACTCCATGCTTGTCCGTTCCACGGCAGATAGCCTGAGACCAGTTCAAGTTTGGGCAATTTGGCAGTGCGTGTGTGTGTGTGTGATTCGTACACTATATAGCCGTCACACCGCATCACACGTATCACGTATCCCATATCCGATCTAAGCGCTGCACGCTTTCGCAAGCAAGTGAGCCGAAATCTGCATCTGAAGACTCATCACGTCAAGCACGTTCCACTTCGCTTCCTTTGTCTCGTGAAACACATACACCGAGCTCACAGACAAGTCCTCAGTCACCCCGGTCACCGAGCCACCGTTGACGCTGGCAGACGTGTCGCCTTGCAACCCAGCACTTGCCTTCTTGGCAGCCGGGCTCGCCACCTCCGACTTCACGCTGTCTCCTAGCAAATAGCGAAACTTGCTGGGCACGTCCAAGCCGAGCTCCTGTAGCTGGATAGCGTGCATCTTGTCCCGGATCTCATCGTCAGACGCCAACCCCAACTCGATGAGAGATAAGCATTTGGTCAGATGCTTGGTCCATGCGGTTGCCCATTCGCTTTCATCTGCCACGACTGTTGTCAAAAGTACCTCAAGCTTGGCAGATGTCGGGATGTCTGTGCTGCTGGTAGCGGGCACTGTGGTGTTTCCGGAATCTGTGGCTTCAATTGCTGCCAGCAACATGTGGCACACCTTATCCAGCTTGGCAGCTACGAAGTCTGTGAACTTGCATGGTTCCTTGTTGCCAGCTCCACCACGAGCCACTGTCTGCAAAGCTCCCTGCAACATCCTGAGTAGGTAGACCGCCCGCAGGCGGATCAACACCTCCAGCACTCCACTGTTCGGTACCCAAAAGGGCTCCCCGGCAACGCTCTCTTCCTTGCACAGGAAGTGCGAATACGGTGGCACACATTGGTTTGAAGCTGCAAGCGATGCTTTGTCAGAAAATTTCACGGTTAATGCAAGTGAGAATGTAGGGACGGCACATGGTATGTGCTCGAATATAGCATCCGACGCCCACCAAACCAAATCTGATAGGCTAACCGATGCATCCGTGTGCACTGGACATGATGTGGGGTCCCGCTTGCATTTGCACATTCGGCTGACAAGCTTGCTCCTAGCTGCACAGAAAGCGGCATGGTCACAGGCATTGACTGCGTGGTTGGTGGTCAACCATTTCCGCACACATGCTGCGGACGGTTCTGTCATCCACAAGAGGATGCTCTTCTCCCCCGGCGACATTGATCCAGCTGTCAGGGCATCCCTGGATAGATTCTCTGTCAATCTCTCAAGTCCAGAGTCCATCGAGCTGGGCAGTGATGCTCGGCTTTTGGCCAATCCCTTGTGGATGATGTCCTGTAGAAGCGGCCGGACTTGAGACCATACCTTCTTCGGCTTCGTGTTCACAATGACCTTGCCATGGAAAGCGAACTCGATGCCCAGCCCAAGTGCTTGCAGCAAGGCCCTGCGGTTGCTGGGGTCCATGAGTGTCTCAACGTCTCCTGAAATGCACTGTGTTAAACTGTTAAACCTGTGAAACTGTTAACCTAGCCGCCACTCAGCTCAAGCGATGCACAAATGTGAAGCACAACTGCACCAGCTGCAACGACAAACTGACAAAGTTCAACAACTCGCAACGTCAGTTGGTGAGACGTCTCACACATGTCACACGAGAGCCTGCTGCATGGATCAGCGCAGACAGCAAGTCGTCAATCCACCATCGTTTCCTGCTACATCCGCAGCCCTCCTCCACATCTGCCAACACTTGATCCGCATCCTCGCGGTCGTCATCAGTGGCACGATTCCTTGCCGCTTTGCCTTTTGCTTTTGGCTTTGAGGTGGCTCGCTTCCGCTTCTTGGGCGCGAGCAATTCATTCACGTCGAGCGTGGCTCCATCCGAACTTGCTTGAGCACGGGCACTGACAGCAGGCTTGAATATCTTGGTCACAAAGGACGCACCGCCCACCTCTGTCTTGAGACGATCGATGATGGCAGGCATGTGTTTGGTAAATGTCCATTCAGGCATTGGCATGTCATAGTCTCCGCCCGAGCCACTCGGTCGGTCCCGTATGATGGGCACCTCTACACAGTTTTAGCATCTACTCAGTGACAAGTGACAACTTAGTCAATCGGCCTGCTCACACGAACACAACAAAACAACTGGTACCGGCACACAGCATCAGCTGAGCTCACTGCCAAGTATCGACTCCCCACAATGAAAACCTCCGAAAGGAGCTCAAGGCTGTAGGTGGCCGACAAAGATACAACCAGCTTGCCAAACACGTGCAAGTTCTGCATTGTTGCGAGCGTCGACAAGTTCTCATGCTGAAAGTCACAATGGTCTCCCAGAGCTTCACTGAATCTGTTCACGCAGTCCAGATCGTTCAGGTAATGCATAACCCTCTTGGCAAGGTCAAAGATCTGAAAGGTTTTGAATCTCTGTGAGAAATTCTCAGTCACCCAATCAGAGTAAGTCTTCTGGTACGACGACCCACTGGCCGTCGTGATGCCCTGTCGACTTGCGTGCCGCTTCCATGCCTGCACTGACGCATGCCATACACATACACTTACACATGTCACAGGTCACATGTCAGTAGCCTGTGCCTACTGTGAGACAAGACCGCCTCCTCCACATCTTTTGATCCGAGTATGGATTCCAGCCACGTGGGAGCCAAGCCGCCGTGGAAGCAATTGTGCAGGTCGCGCAGATAACTCGCACACGGGAGGAATGAAACCGTGTGCCGGCGTGTAATTAGTTGTGAGACGAGACTGACGAGACAGACATGTAACCATCAACGCACACATTTCCTGCACTAGCACTGGGCTCCGCACGAAGCAACGTCATTGGGCATACGTTTGTTGAAGACTCGGCAATCAGGAAGGCCGTTCTCAATAGTAGCCATGACACGGGCATTCTTGGGCTGCTCTGCATGCGCGACATACAGTGCCTCGCACCTCCACGTGGAGCGACAGCATGAACATGATGAACATTCAGGGTGAATCAATACAGCATGCTAAGCTACCATGTCTTGTTGTGAGCCAAGCAACAATGTTCCGCAGGACAACGCGTAGTAAGTCCCGGTGTGTTCATCGTACGTCATCCATGGTTCTCCACGGACTGACTGTATGATACCCGATTCGAAGATTCGCTTGACGTACCCACGCATCGCGGAACCGGTGCGACGTTGGTTCAAGGGATGTCTCTGAATCGCTGGCGTTTTGCCGTCTTCTTTGTACCACTTGATGGTGCGGCGTGGCCCGTCCTTGTGGTTCACCGGCGTTCACCGGTGAGTTCGTGAAAGTGTAGCAACGACTCGACTGCAGACACAGACACACGCAACAACATGTGACTGCAACAGCGTGAACGTCCTGGTAGACCTCGAAGATCTTACTGAGCAAACATATGCCCTGTTCGGAGTTGAAGCGTTCCGCAATCTCCATGGATTGCCCGAACAGTACCTCATGTGCTTTCTTGTACCTTAAGTCCAGGGAGGCTGCATGTGGCGTGTTCTACACATGGTTTATGAATTTGCGGGTGCGGTGTGCATCATGTGGTCACGTAGTCTTGTCCTGAGGCCGATACGATGCTTCTTTTGACAGCTGTTTTTCAGCCTCTGTCATGGTGTTCTCTGCCGTCTCACCGAAGGACCCTGACCTGGACTTCCTTGCGTGCAACAGCCATGTAGCGCAGACAACAACGGATGACGGATGCAGTATAATGTCAGCCTAATGTCAGCAGTGACAGGCAGTGACTCAAGTGACAGTGACAATTGATGTGACACGCTGGCTCTTCACACTTGTCGCATCATCACAAGCAAATGTGCCAGCTACTCAGACACGGCAAGTCAGCAAGCAAGGTCAAAAGGCGTGATCTACATTGAGCACAGACACTGGTTTGGTATCATGGCAGTCTCGCAGGTGTCGCAATAAGGGTTGGGCTGGTTGGACTCGACACTCTGCCGAGCGGCACAGCAGACTACGACTACGACAGCAATCACTGTAAGAAACCAAAATGGCTCTTTGGAGCAATCAACTCATCAGCTGCACATGCATTGCACATGTGACATGTGTGTTTCAACAACTTGGGATGACTGGTGAGACCGACGACCAAGGACCAAGGACCAACAACAACCAAGGACTCCAAGGACTCTGACTCCAACTAACTAACTAACAAATGCTGCTAACATTTTTTTACACATGCTCACATGCGCAGCCACAGCACAGCCCTCAGCTCTTGATGAAGCGTCACAGTCGCAATTTCGGATGTGACAATCATGGCCCGGACAACGCCCTCAGAGGGCACTCACAATCCAAAGTAACTCTGCATCGCCTGCGTTGTGGTCAGCTTCAGACGAGTTCATGTTTGAGAATGCTGCAATGCAATCTACAAGGACATTGTTGAGACTTTGAGACAGCATGTAGCATGATGTCGCCCCGCTTCAGCCAGTCGCGTCGAGCTGCGTCGCAGATTCCCGACGAATTGTGGGTTGCTGTTACACTGGTTCAACGCAGCTGAGACACCGCACCAGGTCACGGTCACAATCATACAAAACAAAACGCACTGGCAATACTGGGCTGCAAAACAACAACGCTTCAGCTACGCCAAGCTCAGCTACGTCACATCATACCAGTCGTAGCTTCGCAACCAACATCGCTGCACCATGCATGCAGAATATTACACTCTACACACACGACAAGATGCACTCCCTGAAAAGATACAGTGGACTCCGGACTATGGGTTTCACAGTTTCACATGGTTCGCGGCCTTTGGCCCGGACCAGCAACTAGGCATGCAAATGCGGTCAAGCGCCTTGACAAGTACTGCGAAGGAACAAACTTCCGGCAAAGGGCCTGGTCAACCCCGTGACATTTCAGTTGCTTCAACGACATGCCACCATGTGTCAAGACGTACAGGATCACAGCTGCAATGCACTGCATGTGCATGGCGTTGCCGGACATGCCGATCTTAGCTGTGCGGCTGGTCTGATGAGGTCTGTATTTGTCGTCACCATGATCATCAAGTGCAAAGGATGCCATTGGAACACCGTGCGACAGTGCCGTGTAGATTGGGAAGCCTTGCATCAGGAATGATTCATTTGGAGTCACCCACCTCCTGTGCCAGTCGCTATACAGGATACCAGCATGCTTGATGAGTGTACGCATACAGGTCCATGTTGAGTAATTGGCAAAGTCACGCGGATCCTGAGACAAGCTGTAACAACGACCACGACAAAGAGTCTCGTAGCCTTCGAGAAACCTTCTCTCCATGATTGTCAAACGGTTTCTGAACATATCACCATCATTTCCGACATCATCTCCGCTGGCATGATGATGATGTGACGTAGGACGGCCGCCAGCCCAAAGCAGCTCCGAGCACAGTTCATCACCTGAAGCAACAAAGAAGATATCCCACGGTGGAAGCGTGCCATCAGCAGCGCACTTAGCTCCACAGCTGATCACACGGATGAACTCGTCCAGTCGCATGTTCCACGGCACTGCTTTTTTTTTGTGCCGCCCCACTACAAACTTGCGACGTCTTGCTACCGGCCACCCGAATGTGGTTTCTGGATCTATCACGCACGACTGCAGCTCATAGATATCCGATAGCATGGACCAAAGAAATTCATCAGGAAACGATTGCACGTTTTCTTGAATAAAAAACGGCTCTTGCAGATCCCTTCTCATGGCAACGAACGCCAGCAATGCTGTTGTGGTCGGGCCGTCCAACTGACTTTGTTGTCCGCGTGCACTGAAGTCCACGCATGGTGTGCCTCCAATGTGAAGGTCTGCCTCCCTAACCTTGCAGTTACGGTTGCACTTCTTACAGTACGCTACCCTGCCGGTGCACACCGACGACTTCACTAGGTCTCTGAGCACTGTCATGACCAAGCGCTCACGACTAATGGTGTCCAGTTTGTCTGCAAGTGTAGGAAGCCAGAAGTCGTTGATGTCGCTGAAGATGCAGCTAGGGCCATACGGATGTCGAGAGAGCTCATGCTGAGATTGCGACAGCCATTCGATGCCAAACTTGTTGCATGTCTTCGGCACGGAATCCTTGGTGACCTCGCGCCCCTGCAGCGTGAGAGCCGCCGCACCCATCATGGCAAGCGCAGTGGATGGCGAGTCCACCCCGGAGAACGATGTACTCATGGACATGGAGTTGAGCACCGTGAGCATATACTCAGCATACTCGTGGTCGTCATCAGATGACAAAGCCGCCAACTTCTGAAGTAGCTCCCGCGGCCACCCGAAGAGCGTATCGCGGAGCTTGATGAGCTTCTCCGTTCGGTCTTTCAGCCACGGAGCGACTGAGTCGGAAGGAGAAGCTTCGGGTACATCAGTAGAAGTAATCTGTCTTGCGGATGATGATGAAGCTTCTGGTACATGAGGCTCAGGCTCAGGAGGCGTTGCTGGCGAAGCGGAGATATCCGGCGGCACAGAAACAACTTCTGGCTCATCCGCACAAGTAGTGTGAGCATGAGTGACTGCATCCAAAGTAGCCGAAGCAGCAGCCGGTGTCACGGAAACAACTTCTGGCTCATCCGCATGAGGAGCGTGAGTAGGCATGACTGTGTCCGAAGCATTGGTAGAGGTAGCCGCCGGTGTCGCTGAAACAACTTCTGGATCATCCACATGAGGAGTGTGAGTAGGAGTGGTTGCTTCCGAAGTACTGGCAAAGGCAGTCGGTGCTGCTACGGACAAAGTTTCTGACACATTCACATGCGGGACTGCCGAGGTATCATCCGAAGTTGCCGGTGTCACCATTGTCACAGGCCCAGGACGTCGACAGTTGGCCAGGAATTTAGACATTTCTTCGCGAGTAGGCGCAGTCATGCGTGTATCGGTCTTTGGGGCTTTGGCACTGGCACTGGCCGCTTTTCTGGATGGGCTTCGTTTGGCCGGCGAAGAAGCTGGTCTCTTTTTGGCGGGCGCAGCTTTCACCGCTGTGGCCTTTGGTGTCCTTCCCTTCGGCGGCATCCCAGTAACACCAAATCCAGGAGTTTGTGTGTGCAAGGTGAAACGTGCTGGCCTCCTATCACTACTATCACTACGCTGTGACTCAACATGCGTGCAATATGCAAATGCAAACATACTTTGACACCGACTGTGATTCAGCAGGTGAGACAAAGACATTAACATGATGCGCTGCCAGCAATTGTCCCGCTCTAAGCGTGAGCCAGTGAAAAGGCACCGAGAACATAATAACATAGCATGTCAAGGTCAAAGTCATGCATCTGTCAGCACTGCAAAACGTGGCATGAATGCATGTGTAGTGAACACACACCAAGAACATGTCATGGCAATGTAATGCAGCTGTCAGCCACTGAACGCTAGAAGACATAACATGAATGCACGTGGCAGGTGTGAAACCAAGCGGCACCAAACATAAGCAAATGAATCTAACAAACAGATTGGCTGCATGCCTTTGCCTTTGCGTACTTGAGCCGGCCGAAGTGAGCATCGAAGTCACTGATTGGTCCTGATCAGATCGTACTCGTGAACACTCTGTGCACTGAGTCATGATATAATTGGTGGCGTTGATGAAGTATGTCTGATCATGTCGTGTGTTGTGTTGTTGGTGATTTGTGCTTGTGTTGCTGTGTTGCTGTTGGTTTGATCCTTGTTGTTGTGCTGATCATACGTTGTTGTTGTTGGTGTTGTTGTCGATGCTGGTGGTGTTGTTGTTGCTGATGTTGTTGTTTCTGTTGTTGTTGATAATGAATTTCTGTTGTTTTAACATTTTGTCATATTGTGATGGTGCTTATGATGTTAATCTATATGAATATATGTTAATATATTCACAGGTTTGAGTTAATGTTTTCATGTGATTTATGTTTGTTTTTTATTTTGTTATGTGGTTGTTGCGTGTGGGCGCGTATGCACTCGCTAGGGGTGTAGTTGTAAGGGATCACATCCAGGATTGGGGTTCTAAGGGACCCCGGCCACCCTCAGGATTGGAGTTCTAAGGGAGCCCGGCCACCCTCAGAATTGGAGTTCTAAGGGACCCCGCCACCCTCAGGATTGGAGTTCTAAGGGCCCCGGCCACCCTCGGAGTTCTAAGGGACCCCGGCCACCCTCAGGATTGGAGTTCTAAGGGATCCCGGCCACCCTCAGGATTCGAGTTCTAAGGGACCCGGCCACCCTCAGGATTGGAGTTCTAAGGGACCCCGGCCACCCTCAGGATTGGAGTTCTAAGGGACCCCGGCCGCCCTCAGGATTGGAGTTCTAAGGGAGCCCGGCCACCCTCAGGATTGGAGTTCTAAGGGACCCCGCCACCCTCAGGATTGGAGTTCTAAGGGCCCCGGCCACGCTCAGGATTGGAGTTCTAAGGGACCCCGGCCACCCTCAGGATTGGAGTTCTAAGGGATCCCGGCCACCCTCAGGATTGGAGTTCTAAGGGACCCGGCCACCCTCAGGATTGGAGTTCTAAGGGACCCCGGCCACCCTCAGGATTGGAGTTCTAAGGGACCCCGGCCGCCCTCAGGATTGGAGTTCTAAGGAACCCCGGCCACCCTCAGGATTGGAGTTCTAAGGGACCCCGGCCACCCTCAGGATTGGAGTTCTAAGGGACCCCGGCCACCCTCAGGATTGGAGTTCTGAAATAGCAGCTGAATTATGTTTGTTTTATTTTGTTAAGGCGGTCTTTGTTGTTTTCATTTATAAATAATTGTTGTGGTTGTGTTTTTGTTTGTGTGTGTTGTCGTTGAACTATGGTGTTGCGTTGTTGGTTAATTGTTTGTTTGTTGCTGCATTGTTGCTGTTGCGTGTCGTGCGTACGTTTGTGATGATCGTTCATCTGGTTGTTTGTGTCTGTGTTGATTCTTTTGTGAAACGTATGCGCTGCCAGCAAGTGGACTGAATGCATACGCTAGTTACCAAGCACCATGGACTGACGAAGGACCAGACTAAGATAGTTACGTATCAACATAATGTATAGCCAGAGACCACATCAAACTTGCGTGTGATGCAAGTGTCTGCCGAGCCATGCATTTGATCATGTCATGTAATTGTGAGACTGTGAGACCTCATGCCTCATGCACTCAACGCAGCCACATTCCAGAGTCACACACACATGACATGAAAACTGACGGGTCCGCCTGGAGCATCATCATCACGACCTGGGCAAGCGCAAGCGATCATTGAAACTGGCTCTACACTGACAACTGCTTCAGCATGTGCTTGGTGACTTGCTTCGGATGCATTCAGCACACAGGTAGTGACGCAGTGGCACATGTTTTTTTCACCAATGGCCAGTCGTCATGCCAGCCGCCCTTCATCACGCCTTCCTGGCGCGACGGGGCGCAGGAGTCCGACTCCTGGTCGCCCTCTGATTCTGCTTCTTCTTCCCCTTGTCCTGGGTGTTCACTGCAGTGTTCACTGTCAATGCCAATGCCGCGAAACATGCAACATTCAACGCAGCGGTGAAACGGCAAAACACACAACGTCATGCGAGGTGACACTGGCACAGTCGAACACGGATTGCTGCACTGCAACCAAGATTCAGGCTCAGGTGACGGGCGTGTCCTGGATCCAGACGGCTCCTGAGTTACACGTTATCTCCATGTCATGTGTTCAACACAACGCAGCCCACAGCGTCCACAATCACAAGCTGCCGTGCATGTGCCGCACGCGCATGCTGCCAAGGTGCGGCTGACGATGCTCTGTTCTCACCACTCTCACCACCCGGGTCACCACCCACCTCCACCTGATCATGAATAGGAGTTGGGCTGTCACATGCACATGCACAAAGGACCATGTGCACATCCTGCCGAGGTGCGGCTGGCGGCGATGCCGCTGTCTTTGGATCGGCATGCACCTGATCATGAATTGGAGTCGTGTCCCACGCACAAAGGACCATATGAGCTGAGCTACCATACGTTGAGTGCCTGCTATGCCTTCACTGCACTCACAGATGATGCCTTGCTCGGCTGCGACTGCGACTTCTTTGCCGGCGGCGTCTTGGGCGATCTCTTTCTCGATGCCTCCGGCTGTGTTCTTTACCATGGTTTACATATCGACGTGTAATATCGATTGCATGTTGTCTTTGCTGCGCTCTGACTCGCTGCCTTAGCTGGCGGAGTCTTCGTCCTGTTGGACCTTGGCTTCGCCTTGGCCTTGGTGGCGTGTCGATCGATTGCCTTGGCTGATAAATGGCTGACAAACTGACAAAGCTCATGCTGACATGACAAACATATCCAGGTCACTGCAACAAAGTCCCAAGGTTACTGACCCACTCTGCTCCACACGAACTATGCAGCTGCGGTACCCTGCTGTCCGAACTATCCGAGGAAGCGGAGCTGTTGCTCGAACTCGAAGACGCCGATGCCGAGGACGACCCCGACGACTCCTCCGTCAGCAAGTCGTGGCTCCGGAGGAGTTCGATCTCATCCTCCCGCAGCGGGCTCAGCGACTGCCGCCTCTTCCTGGAGCTCCTCTCAGCAGCATCGACCTTGCTGGCATACTCGGCCTTGACGGCATTGCCAGCCTTGCCCTTGGCACTGCCATCATTGCCCTTGGCAGCCTTGCGTCCTCTGGCCGCCTTAGCCGCAGCCGCTGTCGCGGCCTTCCTGGCAGAGGCCGCTGAGGCTTCAGCCGCAGCTGCTGCAGCCTCTTCCTCCCCCTCAGCCTTCTTCCTGGCTGCTCTTGCCTGGGCCAGCTCCCACACCTTCTGCTGGGCCTTCATCATGGCCGCCCTCTTCTCCGCGGCAGCTGCTGCGGCCTCCTCAGCTTGCTGCCGCTCCCTGCTCAAACGCAAGGCCGTCTCCGCAGCAGCAAGCGCAGCTTCCTCGTCTGCTCGCCTCATAGCTGCCAGTTGAGCCGCCTCTGATTCGGCCCTCAAAGTAGCCTGGGCTCTCCGAGCAGCCTCGGCATGCGCTGCTTCCTCGTCTGCCCGCCTGGCAGCTGCCAGTTGGGCCGCTTCTGCTTCGGCCACCAAAGTAGCCTGCTGGGCTCTATACCTTGCCTCGGCTGCCTCAGCATTGGCCTTTGCCTCCCGGAGGTCCTTGGATAGTGGGCGTGAACACTTGTTGATTCATCAAACTCAACTTGCATTGCCTCGATGCGTTTATTGCAGATAAAGACTCAGCTCCAAGATCCAGCCTCTCACCACCGCCCATGTTCACCGCGGCATAGAGCTGTGGCTGCCGATCGAGATCGTTGTACGATGTCCTGAACGTTTGCACTTGCCAGCACTGCAACCGTTTACGACAACGACACATGCGACTCACACACACACACACACACACGCACATGCACTCATGCACTCATGCACTGATGAACTGCAGCTGCACAAAATTCAACAATATCAACATGCACTCGCATGGTCCTTGGTGTCTCCATTGGAGCCGGGTCGGGTGAGGAGGGCGGTGAGGAGGGCGGTGACACAGGTGAGACCCGCTCCCCGTTTGAGGTCGGTGCGGCCGGCTCTGTTTGTTGATATGGGACCGGCGTGCTTGTGGTCGGTGCCGGCTGTGGGACCGGGGTCATTGGGATCGGTGCCGGCTGTGGGACCGCCGGCGTCATTGGGATCGGTGCCGGCTGTGGGACCGGCATCATTGGGGTCGGTGCCGGCTGTGGGACCGGCGTGATTGGGGTCTGTGCCGGCGGCTTCTGTTGTAGGGCCGGCGTGACCGGTGCGGGCTGCATCCCAGGCGGTGGGAATGGCGGACGTTTTGGCATGGCCTTCCGCTGCGGGGGGGCTTGAGGCTCGGGGGTCAGCTGGTCGCGGTTTTTGGCTGGTTCCCCCTTCGGCAGCGGAGGTGGCTGCGAGTGGTCGGGCCATGGTGGCTGTGGTGATGGTGATGGTGCTGCATGTGGTGATGGGGCTTTCGGTGGTGGTGGTGGTGGTGGTGGTGGTGGTGGTGGTGGTGGTGGTGGTGGTGGTGGGTGGGGCGGTGGTGGCATTGGTGGTGGGAATGGCGGTGGCTGTGGCTGTGATTTTGCCTGCGCAGCTGCAAAAGCAACATCTGGTGCAACTTCGTTGCTGCTGCTGCTGCTATTCAAGGCACCAGTGGCGCCAAATTGAAGATGAGCCGGCAATCGGATCCCCGGCATGTAAGGGCTGGCTGGCGCCGCCTTCATTGTCTGGTCTGGTGCCTCCGCAAGCCTATGGAAGGGCCGTCTCTGTGGCCGCACGGCCGGAGGCGGAGGAGGTGGCGTGAAACTCATGATGGCGCCGGCCAGCAAAACAAAGATGGAGAATTCGAAAGGCTTCTGGAAGCTTCTACACTCTGAATTTACAGCCAAGTTTCACAGTGGTTAAGTCGTTGGCCCCTTTGGCCCTGAACTTCCCTGAACACATGTCGTGTTATCCTTCATGACTACATGTGAGACTCATGGACCATGAAACGTGAATTGCTTTCAGCTGGCACAAAGCCTGCCCTGAGCCTTTCTCTTCGGAAGACGGTACAGTTGTGCAGTCGACAAACGAAGTGCAACATGCAGCAATGCAGCAACGATTCAGGAATCACATGTCATGTGACTGTGACAGCCATGTGCACCTCGCAGCTAACTCGCATGCCACGTGTCAGCAACATGTCCCCTTGATTCAAGAGTTCATCGCCAAGGACCCGGCTCAGCCGCAGATTGTTGCGGAGCACAGCGCGCAGGCGCAAGTGGTCGGCCGCCTCAAATATGTGTCTGTGTGTGTCTCACTTTTGACTTTAGAGCATGTCAACATACTCGCTACATGCAAGACTGACATGACTGCACGCACTGGTTGTGTCAAGCTCCACAGTCCACGGCATGTGATACCCAGTGATACCCCTGATACTCCGTGCATAGTCCATGGTGCATAGTACATAGTGACATGGCTGATATGGCCCTGACTGCACACAGACTGCACACACCAGCTGCTCACGTCCAACCGTCCAACTGATGATCTGAGATTCCTGCTGCATTGCACCTGCTGCTGACGATGATGATGACGCTGCTGCTGCTTTTGCACCGCTGCCGGTCAGCAAACTCCACCAATCGTTCTCGGCTGGAAGCGATACAGGCATTGGAACCTTATTCTTCTGAATCGACTCAACTAGCCCCGCATCAGCGCTAGCCAGCACATCCATCAAGCCTGTCGATTGGCCGATCGTGAGAAGTTTGCGCTCACAGATAGCGTGAAACCCTAGGCAACAGAATGGACATCGTGTTGCACCGTTCCTTTGGCACAGCACGCAGTGAACAATACCACTGTCGAACGGCATGTCCTGACATTCACAAACTCTATCTTATCGGTCAACAGTCAACAGTCATGACGCCATGAACAACTTCCATGTTCAATGATTCAATGATATGTTGCTCTTGCTCCTCTCGCTACCCGATACACTGCACAGACTGACATGCACTATGCACTGCACAACGCATGGCATGGCATGTGGCACGTGGCTGCGATATCACCGGTCCTCGTCTGGGATCTCATCGTCCGTGGTTGGATTCGTGCTTTGTGAAACTGAAGTCAGCATGTACTCGCAAAAGTCTCGGAGCCGCAGGAAGTGCGGTGACACTGCATCTCGATCGGGGTCGGTTCGCTTGACTTTACGCATTGCTGCTCGAACAGACGGTAGCAGAACATGAGCATGGCGATCGTCCAGACAAAGCTCCGGATAGCCGATGCCGTTGCTTATGCCAGTGCGATACATCGTGCAATCTGCCACAGAGAACAAAACTTTACCGTCGTCATCTAATCTCACTTCACGTCCTTGTCGACCAATCAAGCCATGCCTTAGCTGCTCTGTCAAGTTTGTTAGGTTGCGAAGCGATGTGAAACAGTCAGGTGAGACGGTGAGACAGTGAAAAGCGGATGAACACAACTCACTCCTGCGTTGCTCACCTCAATGTAGACTCCGTCACCTCCGGCTACATGTTAGCTTGGCTGCAGCTGCGCCACCTCCCGTTGTTCAGCCAATGGACCCATATGAGATCTTGAGAATCATCTGTGTATTTGCAGCGAACACACTTGCAACCCGCTGCAGCAACCCCCATGCTTTTGAGCAACACCAAACTGATGCTGCGATCTGTCCCCAACAGCACGTCCTTGGTCTTCGCATACTCATGCATTGCCTCAAGCATCAGATGACATGCCATCACCCATCGTTTCAGGACACGCCCGTCACGCTGAAGATCTACCATTGCCTCCGATCTGAGCAAAGCAGCGATGTCATGTGGGAGCTCTGCCTCAATGTCAGACTCATTATCCGACGCAGAGGCATCAGCACCGCTGCGTGCATCCCCCAAAACACCTTCTGTGTCGACTGGCTCACGCTGACTCGCCAAGCTTGCTTCACCCATGACTTCACCGGACTCTTCTGGAAGCTGTGAGCCCATGTGAGGCTGAGGCTGAGTGCTGTCTTCGCCCGGAAGTACGTGTCCTGTAGATCTGCAACCAACGCCCATGTTTTTGGCTTTCTGAGAGCGAGCCCTACGAACCAGAAGCAACAACGCTTCTTCTTCGACAGCCGCGTCTGGAATCAGCTCGGCATTGCGATGTATATCCTCAGCCACTGCAAACACATTCTTCGACGATGGCAGGCGAGCTGGATCCGTGGCAGCAGCCGCGCTGGCTTCATTGATTTCCTGCATCTCGTGTTGTGCTGTGTTGTCATCATCCGAGTCCTCAGCATCAGTGGCTACCTCGACATCGTCGAGGAAGTTATCATTATCATCAATGTAATCCGCAACATTCGGTGGATCCACGTCGGTTTCGTTTGCATCCGCTTCAGGCGCATCCTTCCTCTTGCGACCTGCTTGCTTTGCTTGTGGTTTGCGCTTTGCTGCCTTTGCTCTGGCCTTCCTTCCAGATTGTGGTTTCCCCGACTTGGCCGCAGACGGGTGAGACTCAGCAGTCATGACAAACACCTGGTTCACCAATTGTAGGACCGAAGCCACTCTTATCTCACCCTCACCCTCTGCATCTGTTCTCCAGCCAGGCAGCAGGAGGTGAGACATGTCTGGCGACAACACTACGTAACCCACTCGCAAGCGCAAGCCTCGACCAGAGCAGGCACCGTAGAAACTCAAGAAGAACAAAGTGGATTCAACGCAATTGTTCTCTTCATAAACCCACTGAAGACACGGATGACCATTGATCTGCACACAGTGAATCTTCGAGAACATCACGCTTACCGAAAACTTCTCTGCCACTGCGAAGAACAATGGTGGCTGCTGCTGCTGCACTAGCCCATCGTTGCCCTCGCCGTCGGTCTCGACGACTGCAATCAGCAAACCTGAACCCACTCTGTGACCAGCATCCTGTTGTTTGTTCTTCTTTGTGGATGATGTAGTTGCTCGACGCCACGCCAGGTTGTATGACTTCGCCCATGAGATGCCACTGCTTGATTTTGCTTTGGCAAGGTCTGCTACAAGCAATGAGTTTCCCGGCTGGCCCCGTCCAGCTTCTGCTGATGAAGCTGCTGATGACCCTGTTTGATCTTCTGGCCCCCTCACAGAAAGCACTGCTTCGCGGTCCGTGATTGCAAGCACTGCCGGTAACACGCCATTACCGCAGTTTGCAGGCAGAGGCTTAGACCATCTGCCATCATTCGATAGAATGGCGAGCGACGCCGTCTTGAAGCCAACAATTGATTTCATTAGCCCTTCCGCCGTGTTCTTGATAGCCGACCATTTTTTCTTCCTTGCCATACTGTGATCTTCACTCAAAGCACGCCGGATGGCAAGCCTAGACGACATCAATTCCAGACTGATGTTCGGCGCACGCCGACCCATCAACTTGATCAAGCTGTTTATGCCCTCGATTGCTTGTGTGTCAGCAGGTAGCATGCGTGCAAGACCCTTCAAGAATGCGTACAGAAAGCTTCCAGATGGCGAACTCACGTCGGGAAACACGCCAGTGATCCGCAAATGCTGCAACTCACGACAACAAAGCTCTCGGATCTTGCGTGTAGCTGAATCAAGCTGATGTGCATCGAGCCCAATCAACTCCTCAGCCACCTGCTGCCTGCGTTTGCAAAACCTTTTGGGATGGCTCTTGATCAACCAGAAAAGCTTCATGGGGTATTGCCGCAAAGGTCTGATGATGCGACGACGAAACGCTGCCCAGTGCAACAGCAACAATCTCAACGCAAGATACCTCATGCGGACAATGTCTGCGTGTGAAAGTCCCTTTGTTTCGTGGAAACAGCCTGATAACTGCAGCGCCTTGTCAACAATTTCTGGTAGCTTCTGAAACAATGCACTGAACTCTGCAGTGAACTCGTCTAGCTTCATGGTGACAAGCCGGAACATGCAATCGCCAAGCTTTGCGCCCTTCTGGACGAACAACATGAAATGCCGCAAAGGACTCCGCAGCGCACGACACAAATAGAGCAAGCACCAGAAAATCGGAGAAGTTATAGTGTTCATTGCGCTCTGGCTCCATTTGGAAAGCTTCAGCCTGTAGGCATCCGTTTCATGCTCTTTCACATCGTCCAACACGATGGCATGGTCTGCCGCATCCTCGCCACCTTGGCCACCTTGATATACTAGAGTCATCATCACATCACTGTTCACACTCTCCATTGTTTCTAAGACAACTTCTCGCTCCATTGAACAGACCCAAAGAAAACAAAACCTACACCGTGACGGACCGTCACGGTCACCTCAGTCAAAGGGTGAGACCACTAGTCGAACTGTGAAAATTGAAGCTAGAAACTGGCATCGGCAGGAGCATCAGCAGCGAGTGCACCAACATCAGCTTTCATGGCGCTGGATAGCGCTTGAAGAATGCAAGGTTCAAGCAATGGACGTCCTCTCTCGATCAAAAATTCCTCAGCATTTTCCACCGATCCCCAACGCCCGCTGGATACACTCAGCGGATACCGTGATCCAAGAGCCCTCGTATCAGCGTCTTTGGAGCCGTGATGATCATCCCACGCTTTCATCACCTGACTTGCTTTTTCCCTCCAGACATTCACAAGCTTGGCTAGGCTCGCGTAGTACTTGTCGAAGCCACCCAGCACCTCCTTGCTGAAACATTCACTAATGAGTGAGTCTGTCAACACCAAGCCGCTGCGGACCGCCGAGTGGAAAACGTGTAGGTAACAATCGGACGCAATGTACACCAGGTTGTCGACTGACCCCACGCTGCACGCAGTCCGCTTCTTGCGTGCCGTCTGGTCAGTTCCTCTGTCAGTGGTGTCCAAGTAGGCAATCACGGACCTGCCTTTGAGGCATGAGTTCCTGAACTCTCAGATTGGAAACAAAACGCAGAGGTTGCCAAACAAATCATAAAGTCACTTACACAGACTTAGCGAACAAACTAATTAGAGTCATGGCTTCTCCGTGTCCATATCCGCTAGAAGATCAGCAACCGATGGCACGCCAATCGAGTTCAACTGCTTTTGCATGATCCCAGCGCAATGCTCGGCTGTACTTCCAGACACAACCTGGAGGTCTGACCTGACACAAAGAGTAACCACAACAACGACAAGAAAAAGAACTGAAGATGTAACCTGCTGTAATCGTAACCGGTGCTGAGGCTGACGCAGGCAGCGCTTGGTGTGGAGAAAGTCTTCAGCATGAAGAGGATATGATTTCACAGGTTTGCAAACTAAGCCCATCTGAGCTTCACAAACGTGAAGCTTCTCACGTCTCCAGATATTGCTGTTTGTTGCGTCAGCTCGCACGCTGATGAAAACAAGATTCCATTTGCCGCCATAAGATATGTCAGCAAGGTCAACGTCAGATACATGCGCATCATCCCGATCTGCATGGTCATGGCCACCGTCACCGTCTGCAGCTGGTGCTCTCAGCTCAGCTAAAGCATTGTTCGCAAACTCTTTCATGCAAGCATTGACTGATGCGCCTGTTCTCACTTCCGCTCGCAGAACTGTGGATTCACTCATGTCCCTCAAAAGCATCGCCCCAACATCTGCTGCTGCAATATGAGTCAGATTGCGGCGTATACCAAGTGCAAGGATTGACTCAGATGTCAATCGCTTGCCCGATTTAGACACTACCAGCTCAAGCGGTGATTGCTGCGACTGCGAATCCTGCGCAAGTTTCAATTGTTTGCTTGTCTTGGTCGCCTGTGCCACAACTTGTCTTTTGACCTTGCGCACTTGTGCCAAAGTACCTACTGCCCTCGCCAAACTCTTGCAAGCCTGCGCACCCACCACAGCAGCACGTGCGTGAGTCATGTTACGAAAGTCTGCTTCGGTCATGACACACAAATCTTTCTGCGGAAGCCGCCCTAGGCCCCAATTGTTCTTTGGCGCACGTTCAACCAGACAAAGTATACCATCACCGGGACCATCACCACCACCGCCACCAGGCCCAGCCGCATCTGCAGCAACAAGTTGCGCGCCAAATCGTTGCTGCGTGGATTCTGATGGCCCTGATGGCTCTGCATCTACATCAACCACTTCCACAGGCACAACCGCGTGTTCAGATTCATGATCATCCTCCTCAATTGTCTGTGGCGGCTGGCCATGCGCCAAATCAATCAACGGAAGGCCAAGCCCCTGTAGAATAATCTGGACATCACTGTGCTTCAGGAAACGGCTTCTCACTGTTTCGACCTAGGCTGCTCACAACATTGTGGTTGCGAGCATGACAGTGACCGATGCCGCGGTAGTGAAACGTGGTCGTGAAACACATGAACTCAAATGGACTCGTGATCATGCATGGTGCGCCGGTGAAACGGTGATGAACTCATATGCACTCGTGATCATGCAGGCAACATGCTGGTGAAACTTCACTCGTGATCATGCATGCAGCATGCCGCGTGAAACTGCCATGGACTCATATGCACTCGTGATTATTCGTGATCATGCATGTGCATGCAGCATGCTGGTGAAACTGTGATGGACTCTTCTGCTCGTATGCACTCATGATCACATATGCAGCATGCCTGTGAAACGGTGAAACAGATCTGCAGGCAAATGTGGACATCCATGCAGCATGTGCAGCATGCAATCACGAATCACGAATCATTCTCATACTAAGCTGCCGAGAAGCCGCTGCAAGCCTAGCACCAACCCTGCTGCTTGCAAGCCGTCGTGCCTCACCTTTGGAAACCAAAATATCAACAAGCAATGATTGAAGCGCCGCTTTGCCATAGACCCTCTCGCCGGAGACCTCAGTGTTCATACCAGCGGCCCATGAATTGAGCCGCCTGGAAGCAATCGTGTTTGATAATGCCATGGCTGCTCACCATTAAAATACAGATTCCAGTACCAACGCAACCAATGAACGTGAAACTGTGAGACACTCCTGGCAACTCACTGCTAAAGTGTTGGCCCACGACACTGCAACAAGCATATATGCAATCCCTCTGCTGTGGTAACAAGACCTGAGCCAGATCAAGCAACGTCTCAGCTGCCGGCGCAACATGACTCGTGCTATCTGTCGATGTGAAACTGCAACGGTAGCCGTGAAGAAGACATGTAAAGTGGCCACTGAGCAACGATAGCCGCTCACCCGGCCAGTGAAACAACCACATGTTGCATCAACACATGCACATACTTTTCGACTCGTGCCATCAGAAAACAACATGTGTGCCGTGCAAAAATGAAGCATTCCGATTTGTGAAACCAATGATTTCTGTTCGCTTGCATGTTATACTTAATCATCTAGGATTTCCCACTATGTGTTGTTTGCTAGCCCACCAGCCAATTCTTAATCTATCTCCAGCCCCCCAAGTAGTAGCACCAGCCCCCTTAGGACTGATTCTAAACAGCAATCCGTTTGCAAGCTGTTCCTACCCAACCATACATTTGAAGGTTCATAGTTTAGGGGTTTATAGGGTTGAAGACCTTCTGCAGCATGTCTTGCAACACAACAGATGGGTGCGTTCAAGGCACCTCTGTTGAAAGAAGTTGGTGCATCACAATCAGGCCCCAAAACAGCCTAAGACCCTTACCCCCAAAACCATCAATGCCAAAGACCCTACAACTCTCAAGCTGGCAGTGGTGGTGGTGGTTTGGTGGTGGTAGTTTGGGTGGTTTTGTTGGTGGCTTTGGTGGTGGTGTTGGTGGTGTTGGTGGTTTTGGTGGCTTGCTTGGTGGCTTTGGTGGCGGTTTTGGTGGTGTTGGTGGTGGTTTTGGTGCTGGGCAAAGATCTGGCAGGTGCCTTTGGGCTGCATGCTGCAGCCCTGCTGCTGGAACTTTTTTCGAGTTGCGTCGCACACTACTCCGCCCTCCGCCGAAAACATTATACAAATCTCTAGGCTCTAGGACACTAGGCCTTTCTGGGCCGGAAGGGTCGCCTCACAAAGCTGGAGCAGACCTTTCGCTCAACTGCCTGCAGCAACCGTCCGGCACCTTACAAATCTTGAATTCAACGGGGCGAAGATTTGCAGGCGCAATCATCGGGCTGATCATTTGCATGTTGTTTCTGAACACCTGCTTCAGAAGGTTGCGGCAAGTCACGGAGAAACAACTACTTGCAGAAGTTTGGGCAAATACTTACCAGTGGATCAGTAGATCTGAGGCGTTTCTGGATCGGAATCGCAGCAACCCTCCAGCAGTTTACAAAAATTGACCAGAGGCCACAAAGATGAAAAGACCTTCGCGGCCTGGGCAGAGCATGTCGTGGTGCACACGTGGAGAACTGGCGTTTGCTCACCGTCTGTCGCTACATGGATCTGAACACGAAGTGAATGATGTTCCTATCTTCCCCATACCCGATTTGATGCTTAGGAATCCCGCTTTGGGTCTGAGAACTCAGATCCCAAAAAGACAGAAGCAAGTCAATGCGGCGCTCAATGCAGCGGACAGGAAGAGGGATGGAGCCGTGGAAGTCTCGCTTGAAGCGGCTGTAGTCGTGGTCGTGGGCACTGCCTGACAGGCAGTCGCGCACGCAGACGGCAGGGTAGCCCGAGGACACCCTAGGAGGAAGGGTCACAACTGGCGTGCTGAACTGCCTACAACCCCCGGTGGAAAACAGCAGCCACCAAGTGGGGCAGTCCTTGCACATATCTGGATAAGCCGTTGAGCCGCTCAGCAGTGTGGCCGTGTTGCCCGTGTCAGCACCTCACTCTCACCCCATGCCAAGCACAGAAAGACCTGCAGAAGTATATTCAGCTACAGGCGGACAACAAAGTATTCGAGAGATGAGTCACATGAGGAGGCCATGCAGCTGCCAGCTGGCGCATCTTTCCACGTGCCCACCATGGCACAGGTGATGCCGAGGTGTGGATACCTGCGTTAAACTGTATTATGTTGCGACAAGCAAACACAGAAGTTTAAACATCGAGGGGGTGCACAGCATGCCGGACAAGCTGCATGGGCGGTTGTTACAGAGACGCGGACGCGCCGCAAGAACCGATAGTCACAACGACCACGAAACGAAAAGAACAAGATTCTTGGCAGAGTTTTAGGGTTTAGGGGATTAAGAGCTTGGGAGTCCTATTTCGTTTTCTCCAAGGCACAAAGACTCCACCAGCGTTTTCACGGAGCAGGCCGTGCTCTCCGGCACGGTTGTTAAGTTTAGGTCAAAGAGTGCATCCACCGCCTGCACCGTCGTGGCGTTGAAGGTGGACATGTATCCGGAGGCACTCCTCCAGTAGGCCCAGCCCTCGGCGAGATACTTTGGCTCCATGGTGCCGCCATTGTAGGCCTTCCATGCGTACTTGATGGCGCTTCGGATGGCAGCAATGGAGAAGATCTTGTACATGGCCAACTCTGCTGCTTTCACACTGGTAGCATTGTAAGCACCTCCACGCAGGTTGATGAGGCCGTAGTTCAGAATCGGCACGGCCTCCGTGTGCGTCGAGGTGCCGTCGGGGAAGTCGATGTCGCGCTTCCAGTTGAACTCGTAGGGCGAGTAGAGGTTGCCGGGGGCAGAACCTGTGTAGCCATCGCCAATGACTGGATCGATGTTGCCGATGTAGAAGGCGGCGCCTTCGTCCCAAGCATAGGCTGCTTGAGTGTCTGCCGTCTCTCCATTCTCACCTTTCCAAACAGCTGCACCAAACTCGTAGGTGGCGTAGGCGGTGACAACTCCAATGAGTCCCTTGTTGATGACGTACTGCCGGAACGAGTCCGTCTTCCCCTCGCACACACCTGTCCCGTCCAAGCACGCGATGATGTAGTCGTGCCATACGGCATTCGTTGAGCCATACAAGCTGACGGCACCGCTGTAGAAAACCTCACGTCTCGGGGTGCAGATCTTTCAAGAAAGGATCATGCACCCTATGCCCTATAAAACACAAACACAACAAAGAACAACATTTAGTCAACATTTAACCTTTTGGGGGGAGATCATTGTGGTCATTATGGCCCCTTTGCGATGCTGCAAGGGGACATTGGTGTACTTGCCATCCACGGTCATGTCCTTCTGCGCCAGGTCTTGCAGAGTTCGCATGTTCCCCAGCCCTTTGGAAGAGAAGTTTCCTGCGGTGTAAACCTGCTTGGCCATTGCATAGTTCAAGGGGGTCTCAGCCAAGTACTCTTTAATCAGCTTAACATCCCGATTGATGTCGGCGTGTTCCGTGACGTCGTTGACAGGACAATAGAGGCCGTCAGAAAGCTTTGGACAGGAGTCCACGGGGGTGCAAGCCCCTGCCTCAGCACCTGCGACCATGAAGGCCAGAAGCATGAAGCGCATGGCTGCCATATCGCAAGAGGCCTTCTTGTATATTTGTGTCTGGATTCGACGTGTTGCCTTGAGCCAAGCCTTTCATTAAGGAAGTACAGCGCCTCGAGCTTTCGCATCACAAGAGTGCACGCTTGCAACATGAAGCATTATTTAGGCCCCTGTAGCACAACCCTCAAACATGCAGGGACGTAGCGCCTCTTGCGGAAGCACCAGCGCTGGCATTAAATGTCACAGCGCTCACCACATCGGCCAAGTCGGAAGCCATAGCATCGTATCAGGTTGAAAGGGCTTTAGAGTTTAGGGTTTAGGGTTTATGTAG